CTGTCACGAGGCCAGTACACTTCAAAGTGGTAGAACTTGCGCCACTCACGATAGGTGGACGAGTCATCCGGAGCGGTCCCAAGGTGGATTCTGCGACAGGCTGCCACGGGCCTGGTATGTAAACTCGAATCCATTCGACTCTTGTATTTCCAGGGCCACGCACGATGTTGTACTCAAAGTAGCGGCGGACGCCCTTGCGCTGCCGGTCTCCTACGCGTCCTTTTACACATGGCAATATCGAGACTGGCACACCAGAGGATACCAACGACTCGGCAATCCACACCCGAGCGTAGCACGGCCGGTTTTCCCGTCGGGATCGCCTGATCTCATGTACGCTGGATTGTCATCCTCATCGGCATCCTCGGTTTCAGATGGTGGTTGGCGCCTGAGTTGGCTTCAGCTATAAAACACTGCACTTGATGTTGCTTGCGTCTTGAGTGCATGGTTGAGGGTCTTGCGTTTGACTGGCATGTTCAGCGTCACATGGCATGAAGTGTTTCTTGCCTGCAGCCTTGTGCGTCATTGTTCAATCAACATGCCGTGGCTAGAATGGTGCCCTGATCCTCAACGGCCGGACGCCCAATGGATCAAGATCTTTCATCCAGGTGCATGGACACTACAAGAAGAGCGCGATGACCCTCCTCCACGTCATACGTACAGGGAATGGAAGGTGTTCTATGACCAGGTTCATTCTCAAGACGGCGTTCACTCCACTGTTCCTACTTGGTACAAACGGGACTGGACCACGGAAGGTTACAGGCGTGTCGCGGCTCCCGAACCAGACAACTACTTCGCTTCGACTTTTTCCCCTGGTCAGCACAGCGTGGCCACACAGTCATCGACTCTGTGCATGTCTCCGCAGATGTTGGAGGCGATTCTGCGATCCTCGGATGCGTCGGCCTTCTCTACTGAGGATCTCACTCGTCTGCAGGCAGGGATCTGCCAGCAACTTGCGGATCGCACGCGTCAAACATCGCGGCCGCATCAACCAGTGCGTACTTCTCGAGACGCTGATCCTCCTGAATCTACTGGAGTCGCTGATCCTTACCTGCCCGCAAGCCGCCCCAGCAGTTCTGACGTCAAGGAGAAGCCCATTTTTGAACTAGTTGCTGAATAGACTGACGAGTGTCGACCATTAGGCAAAATGGTGCTTTCTTGTCATCTTGCTTGCTTGTGTGTTGTCTGTTGCGCATGGTGGTTGGTTCCATTGCGTTGCTAGCTGGATCGGATACCGTGGTGCACCCTATCTTCCATCTCAACATGGATATTGATGATGCGACCCAAGCGCGGGCCCTGGATGACGTCCAGCAGCCATGGCTGGAGTATTCAGTCTGGCAGGAACGAGAGTGGGTGCGGATCAACCTCAACTATGGCGCCAGGATGATGGTGACCTCGCCAGGTGATGAAACTCAAGACAACGATGGGCAAGGTCACCATGCGCATGATCACCGCCAAACCTGGACCATTCAGGATTGGCAGCATCATGCAAGGATACCAACGGATATTGACCCGCCATGAGTCTTTCTCCATCCACAAGGCCTCGGATCAACAGCGTGAGGGCGTGCGCAACCCGGACTTTTCCATCCAGGTGGAAGAACTGGGCTCTCAACATGGTCTTCGTCAGCAAGATCGCGATGTGATGGATATGTTCACCTACGCCCCGCCCATGACGGACGCTGCACATTCATCGTCCCTGCTCCTTCCGCCGGTCTTGCCATCAACAGCAGGACACAGACGCGGACTATTTCCTGCTCAACTTGGAGACCCTACGTCCCCGTCTTCTGAGCGGCACCGCACAGAGCGTGAGACTTCACGTTCTCCTCGCCGTTGTGAACATCTTGGTAGACGCTAGGGAGTTGAGCGCTTGGTCTTCCGGATGTAAAAGGCAGTGTACGCCCCTCGTAGACGGGCGTGTGTGTGCGGAGTGGCAGAACACCCTGTCACCACAATTGAGCGCAGGGGGCAGGAGCACCATGGCAAGTCTCCTGCCAACGAAGACACTTGCCATCGGTGGTGATACTGGGACTGATCACCCCAGCGTACCTGCATGTGTAAAGTGATGTTGCTGAATGTCCTTTTGGCCCCCTTGGTTGCGGCGCTGTTTGTGCTTCTTGTTCTGTCTGGCAACGTTTTCGCCTCTAGAGGGAAACCGAGTGCTTCGCGAGTCGAAACTTATCCTACTCGAGACTTATCAGTTGCACTCGAGACTCATCAGTTGTACTCGAAGGATTAGCATCCTCCCTTGGGAGTTGAAGTGTGTGTGGGTGGGTGGGTGGGTGGGTGGGTGGGTGGGTGGGTGGGTGGGTGGGTGGGTGGGTGGGTGGGTGGGTGGGTGGGTGGGTGGGTGGGTGGGTGGGTGGGTGGGTGGGTGGGGGTGGGTGGGTGGTGGGTGGGTGGCTGGCTGGGTGGGTGGCTGGGTGGGTGGGCGGGCGGGCGGGCGGGCAGGTGGGCGGGCGTGCGGGCGTGCGTGCGTGCGGGCGTGCGCGTGCGTGTGCGTGTGCGTGTGCGTGTGCGTGCGCGTGTGCGTGTGCGTGTGCGTGCGCGTGTGCGTGTGCGTGTGCGTGTGCGTGCGCGTGCGCGCGCGCGCGCGTGCGTGCGTGTGCGTGTGCAAGTGCGTGTGCGGGTGTGTGTGTGTGCGTGTGTGGGTGTGGGTGTGGGTGTGGGTGTGGGTGTGGGTGTGTGTGTGTGTGTGTGAGTTTGCGTGTTTGTGAGCGTTTTTGTGTTAACAGTGGCTCCTTGGAAGTTGGCCTTAGTCCTGACGTTGTGCATGCGCGCTCCAGCCCTCCCAGAAGGCTCGGGCCCAGCCTTTCGCAGCATGGGCTGGGGCGGCTGTGGCAAGGACTGGGGTGGCAACTGGGGTGGCGGCGGTCAAGATTGGGGAAAGGGCGGCGGTCAAGATTGGGGTAAGGGCGGCCAAGATTGGGGCAAGGGCGGCCAAGATTGGGGCAAGGGCGGTGGCTACGGTGGCGGCGGGTATGGTGGTGGCGGCTGTGGCAAGGGCTACGGTGGCGGCAAAGGTTTCGGGGGCGCGGGCAGCAACTGGGGTGGCTACGGTGTGTGGCAACCCATGTTCAACCCCATGATGATGATGAAGGGCATGGGCAAGGCGCAGGGCCTTCGAGGCTTCGCCAACGACAAGAAGGTTTGGATAGGAGGCCTGCCGGCTGAAAGCTGTAGCAAGGAGTTGAACATCAAGCTCAAGGACCACATGTCCACGGCCGGGGTCAGCTGCCTCTACGCCGACGTGGGCAAAACCGGGCAGGGCGGTGCTGCCTTCAAGACCAACTCCGATGCCATGACCGCCGCCGCCGCCCTCAACGGCTCCGCCTTTGAGGGCGGCTCCCTACAGGTGGACATGTGGGGCAAGAAGCCCGCCTGAGAGTTGCTGGGAGTCCACAGGAGCGCCATGTCTCAAGACTCAGCGCTAATGGCGTGCTGAGTTCCAAGTGTTCTATTGTCATGCACGCAGGGTGCGGCACTTTCGACAGCGGAAACACCAGTTTTGCCTTCAGAGGCGTGCGGGAACCGACGCACAATCCAAGCTAAATGACTTTAACTGACGGTAGAGAGAGAGCCCTGGAAAAAGCTTTCACCAGACTCGTTTCTTGTTCCTCACGGACGGCCCGGAGCCACACCGAAACCACGCGCTTGGCACAGGTTCCCATTGAGAGGTTCCATTTTTGCTCGTGGTTTTGGCGCATGCCATTTGGTTTCTGCAAGAACCTGTGACAAGCAAAATTAGCCACCAACAAAGTGTGCCAATCATGTGAATTCATGACATCTGTTTGTTGCATCCAGACAGCTTCTCATCATGGGCTGGGGCGGCTGTGGCAAGGATTGGAGCGGCAGCGGCTGCTACGGCGGCTGCGGTCAGGATTGGGTTGGCAACGGCAGCTGTGGCAGCTGCGGCGGCTGCGGCGGCTGCGGCGGCTACGGCAAAGGAGGTCAGGATTGGGGAGGCGGTGGAGGCGGCTGCGGCGGCTGTGCCGGCTGCGGCGGCTATGGCGGTGGCGGTGGCAAGGACTGGGGTGGCAAGGACTGGGGCGGCAAGGGTGCCAGCGCCCCCCCGACCAAAGGTTTTGGAGGTGGCAAAAGCTTTGGCGGCAAAGGCGGCGGCAGCAACTGGGGCGGCTGCGGCGTGTGGCAACCCATGTTCAACCCCATGATGATGATGAAGGGCATGGGCAAAGGCTCCAACGGCCTGCGCGACTTCAAGAACGACCGGAAGGTGTGGATCGGAGGACTGCCGCCGGGCACCAACAGCAGGGAACTCAACAAGAAGCTGAAGGACCACCTGTCCACAGCCGGTGTCCCATGTGTCTACGCGGAGATTCACAGGACTGGCAGCGGGGGAGCTGCTTTCAAATCCGAGTCAGAGGCGCAGACTGCAGCAGCTGCCTTGAACGGCTCCGTCTTTGAGGGGGTCATGCTGCAAGTGGAGATGTGGGGCAAGAAGACAGCGTGAAGTTTTGGCCAACGACACATTTAAATATCGCTGTATCTTGCTCTTTTCTGAGTCTTTCTGATGCCTCTGAACTGGTCGGGGGGTCTATCATTAGACCGGGCCCCATTTTGTGATGGAGATGATTGTGATGCAGAGTATCAACCATGAGGACAAAAAGATCAGCTGCGAGACAGCACAGGCGCACGCCTGTCCATAATATGCCAAGACTGATTGACACCACATGTCACGAGCTGTTTCCGAACGTTCTTGTCTTATGCCGTGAAGTCAAATCTCTAAATGTTTGAGCTGCGCTTGCCACGTGCATGTCATTCTTTGCGTGCTTGTTGCCAAAACATGTTTCAAAGTTGGCCTTGCTTGATGCTGCCCCCCAGTCATCCTCGTGGTAAAGAAAAAGGTAAAGTGACTTTTTTCAGCCACCCACTCGGGAAGTGAGGGGGTGCATAGCCTTCATGAAACACCCACATGGAAATTGGAAGTTCTTGTCTTGCCACGAAGGACACAGATGGAGGCTTTGACATTCTGTTTGCCGGTTCCTATGAGCCATCCAACTGGTGGATCGTGCGCAGATCCCAAAATGGTTCAAACCATTCCCACCACCCGGAAAGGATTGGCTCTTGAGAAGCAAGTCTAACACGCCCAACTTTAGACAAAATCCTGGCTTTTCACCTTTCTCACAGGAGCCCTTCTTGGGGGGTCCCAGCGACCTCCGTCCAAGGCTCGGAGACGCTGGGCGCGAAGCTCTCCATCGCAGAGAGCGACAAGTCGGCGCTGGAGAAGGAACTCGGAAGGGGGCCGCGCGAAAGCCGTCTATTCATTTATATAGTTTTCGTTTGTTCATTCGTGTTTTTTTTGGTTGGGGGGGTGGTGTTGCTGAGGAAGCCAAAATGAAGCCAAAGAGAGCCGAAATGGGGGTACACCCCCTGTTTTGACACATGCCCGTTCCCATGTGTAACCAAGGGGACATGCAAAACCAAAAGGACGATAGTACGGTAATCAATAAAGGTGCCAGATGCCAGAGTTCGAAATGGGTGCTCAGTTGAGAGCCAAGCAACATGATGAGCAAAGACCGCGAATATCGCATCGGCACGCGGCCAAACGAAGCCATTCGAATCTGCATGCCTGTTTTGGGTGCCGTTTTTAGAGACATCAGACACTCTTGCCCTGGAGTTTGTTGTATTCCAACTGGCTCCTGGCTTCGCTTGCCAGCGGCCCCATTCAAACGTCTTGCCGCTGCCACAAAACACTTTTGTTGCGCAGGCTTAGCGGGGTCCAGTATGATGAAAGTGGATGGCACAACCTCTCCATTTAGGGTTTACCATCCGTCAAATCGGAGACAAAGGGGCGGATATCCATACATGCACTTTCATCCTGGAAGAAATTTGCAACCGACTTACGCACTCGGGGTCTACTTTCGCAACACTACACTAAAATTCCACACCAAATAGGCCCCACGCTTTGTTTTTCTGGTTCTTGTTCCCGGGCTTGCGGGGCTCGCTTCTGCCGCTTTCTTCTCGCTGGCCGAGGAGAAGGCGGTGCTGGAGGCGCAAGTGTCGCAGTTGCAGCTGCAGATCGCGGCGCGGCAGGCCGAGGTGGAGGCGGGGAACGTGGGTCGAGAGAGGAGCTTCTGGGCTGCGGGGGTTTTGACCCCTCATGAAGCTGATGCTTTGGGCAGATGAAGGAACATCGGCCCGTTTAGGGCTTAGGATCGGGACGCTGTTTATGTTTTAGCAATCTTGGACGTGACAGTGGAGCCAGTAAAAGAGAATTCAGCGAGGATGTTCTGAGTGCCCTGTTGTGGAAATGGTTGAGTTCTTGTTATGCAAGGGTACTATACACCACTTCTACACAGGGCTGAAGCAGATTTGCCTCTTAGGGTTTAGGATCGCCACGGTTTATGCCGTGGCAATCTCGTATGTGACTGCCAAGCCAGTACTAAGAAGTCAGCGGGGACATTCTGAGTTCCTTGTTGTGGAAATGGTTTAGTGCTTGTTACGCAATGGTACTATACACCACTTCTACGAAGGGCTGAAGCAGATTATTGTCTTATGGTTCAGGATCGTCGCGGTTTTTGCTGTAAAAATTGTTTAGTGTCTGTTATGCGATGTTATACACCACTTGTACGAAGGGCTGAAGCAGATTTGCGACTTAGGGTTTAGGATCATCACGGTTTATGCTGTAGCAATCTCGTATGTGACTGCCAAGCCAGTACTAAGAAGTCAGCGGGGACATTCTGAGTGCCTTGTTGTGGAAATGGATTAGTGCTTGTTACGCAATGGTACTATACACCACTTCTATCAAGGGCTGAAGCAGATTATTGTCTTATGGTTCAGGATCGTCGCGGTTTTTGCTGTAAAAAATGTTTAGTGTCTGTTATGCGATGTTATAAACCACTTGTACGAAGGGCTGAAGCAGATTTGCGACTTAGGGTTTAGGATCATCACGGTTTATGCTGTAGCAATCTCGTATGTGACTGCCAAGCCAGTACTAAGAAGTCAGCGGGGACATTCTGAGTGCCTTGTTGTGGAAATGGATTAGTGCTTGTTACGCAATGGCACTATACACACTTTCTACGAAGCGCTGAAACAGATATGCGTCTTTGGGCTTAGGTTCGTCACGGTTTATGCTGTAGCAATGTCAGATGCCAAGCCAGTACTAAGACGTCAGTGAGGACATTCTGAGTGCCTTGTTGTGGGACTGGTTTAGTGCTCGTTGCGCAATAGTACTATCCGCCACTTCTACGAAGGGCTGCAACAGATTTGCGTTTTAGGGCTTAGGATCGGGTTGCGGTTGTTGAAGTCCAATCGTGACGACATGCCTGGTTGCGTTCTGGAGTGGTAACCTGAACTACTTACTTACCTGCTGAGGGGAGCGAAAGAAACGACAGACAGACATTGAATCCAAGAACTGGGGTTAAATTATTTAGTCCCAGGAGCAGCGCAAGATGAACCTAAACCAACCCCAAAACCAACCCTAAACCATCCCTAAGCCGATTCTACGCCAACCCTACCCTAAACCAACCCTAAACCGACCTTAAACCAACCCCAAATCGAGCATAAACCAACCCCGGTTGTTTGAACTCCCCCGATCCGCTTCGGGGATCTCGCCTTCGCCAGGAGATCAAGGCGAAGGCTGACGAGGCGAGAGCCACCGGCCGGGGGCTTATTCTTTTCTGGTCACTGCGCGCGCGAGAGGCGCGGCGCGCGCGGTGCGCAAGGCGCGCAAGGTGAGTTGAACTGACCCATGCCCGGAACCAAACCCCAAAGATGGTTGTTTGCGCCCGGAGGCCGAAAAGCCCGCAGCGAGCGAAGAAAGCAGGAAGCAAGTGCTTGGTGGCTCGCCTTCTGCGCGACGCGGGGCTCTGCTTGTAACTGGGCGGGTTGGTATGCGCCGTCGGCACGCCATGCAACACCCGCCAGCGCCACATGGTGGGCATGCTCAATCTTCTAGATCTTCCCTCTACAGCTGGGCATTTGCAGCAATATCTCCTTCAATCAAAGAAAAGTCGGTTGTCTTTGACTTCCCTGGAGAAACCTGTGCGCCTCCTCCAAGTGGTGTAGTTGTTTTAGTGTGTGGCAGCAGGAAATGGCCAGAGGGCAAGCCTGCCAAGGTGGCGAGCCCCTCAACAAACAAACAAACAAATGCCTAGTCATCCCCCCCCCCAAACAAAAGAAGAAGAAGAAGAAGAAGAAGAAGAAGAAGAAGAAGAAGAAGAAGAAGAAGAAGAAGAAGAAGAAGAAGAAGAAGAAGAAGACAACAACACACACACAAAACAAACACACCTGCAAGAACCACGGGGTTTCTTGGCCCAAGCCACTGCAGGACTCCTCCCCATGCCTCCCGAGGCGTCGCGGACCCCATGGGCTTCCAGGCCGGCGTCCAGGCCCTGGAGTCGGCCAACGTGGAGGCCGCGCGTCGTGGCTTCCGGGTAACTGGCCTTGATACCCAAAAAGCACCCCTCATCCAACCACTCCATGCTTCTTTTTGTTTTTTGTTTTTTGCGTTTTGGGCAAAGGGTGTCTTCGTTTGGTGGTGTGTCAAGGGCTTTTTTGCTGCGCCTGGTTTGGCAGGGGTTTCGGCGGGTTTGTGGTCATAATAAACATATCGAGTTTTTCTTTTGTGGGCATTGTATGCTGTGCAGTTTTGGGAATGTCCATTCATTTTTTTATGGAGGTGGGCATGGTTGAAAGTGGTATTTTGCATCTCGTTTTGCATCCACGGTTGGAGACGCGTTTGTTTTCCGGCGCTTCCCTCGCGGCAACATCACATCAGACTTGACCGCTTGAAGCACGCAGCCAGTTGAATCTGCGGGAAGTCGGAGTCCAGCATGTTTAATGAGTTGGGGGAGAAAATGGGTAGAAGCCTGCGAGCGAAGCTCCAAGACATCCCAAGGGGCGGTGAAGCACGATGTAGTGCACAAAGCAATCGAAACTGGGTCACGGAAGTCAAGTCAAGTTTGGGTGCAAGTCCATTGGACACTTTACTTCGCTTGATTTGTCGCGCCGGGTATTTGCATGTGGCTAAACATTTGTGAGGTCCATTCAAAACTGCTGCAAGGTGCTGAGGGGAACTGTTTGGAGGACATCCAGCCCATGGGGTTCAAATCCAGGATTGGATTTGGTGGTTTGGTTTTTTGCGTGTGTTTGGCTCTTCTTGGTTTCTAGCAGCAAGGTTGCGCAACAATTGGCCCGTCAGGAGCTCGGGGCCAAGTGGAAGGAGTTGCCGCGCTCTTTCGTTTCGCGGGGTTGCGCGTGATTTCCCGCTTGGGTGTGGGTTTCTTTTTGGGAGGCTCAGTCCCCCTTTTCGGTTGGCTTGCTGAAAAAAAAATCATGGGCAAGTCATTTTCAAAGGGCTCCCCTCCGACCACTTGAGAGAAATCCGCTTGTTTGTTGCTCGGTATTTGGCCCTGGCCTTCCACAGAGCCTATTTGGGTCCTAGTTCTGTAGGTCATCCAACTTCAAGCTGCTGGTAAATCAAGGGCTGCAAGGGGTTTTCAAGCAGGCGGTTTCCCTTTGTCCTAAAGCACAACAAAGGGCCGTTATTTCAAGAAGTAAGACATTCCGTGTGGTTTTCCTGCTGTGCTGTTTACGGGGCACACCTCCCCACAGCAGCATGACTGTTTGTTCAAGGGGATGAAGACCTGACATAAGCCCTCCATCCAGTAGGACACAAACCATAGCTCAAAGGCCAACTGTACAACACAAGTACTCTTGGCGTGAGCGTTTGGATCAGTGCAAGATTGCCAGAGTGACATCTATGCCAACGGTGCAAAACTCCGAGCGCCTGGAAAAGTTCTCTCGAAGCAGCCGGACCAGTCTGGCGCGATATGACCGCTCGCCCGGGGCTTACCTCCCCGATAATCCTCCTTTCAATTGGGAAATTGGGCCCTGGCCTTGGCTCCAGGTTTTGTGGTTCAAATTTGGGGTCCCCCCCCCATCTGGTCCTGCCCAAACAAACAGTAGGCGCCTAGTAGCTTTGTGCGTTGAGTCGCAGCCCTAAGACCTACCCTAGACTGTTTTTCAGTGACCAACTGGTCGCAGCAGACCACTGGGCTGGTGCTTGCAATGCCACCTGGTTCGTCCATGCCCCATGGTGGTGGGGCATTGTCAATTTGGACTTGGTTTCAGGGGTTGGGAAGGCTACAGCCAGCTTGAAACTGTTTTCTGTCCACTTTGATTGCCGGAGAAAGGGTAGGGTTTCTCACCATGGCACCCGGATCTTCCCCCACAGCTCGCTTCTGTTTCCCTTGGCTTTGCCTTCGAAACGGACCCCCCAAAATCGGGTGGCACCTGCCAGGAGCAAGGGCAGAAGGCAGTGGACGAGGCGCAGGCGTGGAATTCCAACCAGCCTAGAGGAACGCCACCCATGCGAAAAATAGGGGCTCGGACACCCCGAGAAGAACTGGCTGAGTTTTTTTTTTCCTTCGGGACACTTTTCTGGGGCGTAGGTCAAAATTTCGGGGTCCCAGAAACGGCAAACAAACAGCAGACGTCAACGCGGGTTCTGGTGCGTGCAGGCTCGCGCCGCCGCCGTGACGCAGCAAACCACCGAGGAGCAAAGGGGCTGCTGGAGGGGGTTGGTTTAAAGGGACACCACACAATGCGAAGGCTCACACAGTTTCAGGTTGGGAGCTCGCTTTCTTACTTAACTTGCATATCAGTGGAAAGAACACCAGACACAACAATCCACTTTCGCAGGAATCGTGTCTACTTTTGGGCCCTTGCTCCTTTGGGCTCCTTCTCATGATTTGGAGGTCCCCCCCATTTTTCTTGCCCCATTTTTTCCCAGCCCTCGATTCATTTTGTACCACCCCAATGGTTCCCAACCACATTTTGCTTCCGAGCCGCACATCCCCCGCTCCCATATATATATATATATATACACATGTATATTTGCTCACTCCACTTTTTCCAACCGCCTGTTTTCCTGTCCGACCACAAACCATCCCATCATGCTTTCCACAAATTTCCCCCCCACGTTTTCCAACTCACTTCTTGCACACCCCCAGTTTGTCTTTGTCCCACCTCATGTCCAACCCCCGTTTTCCCACCCATTTCCAGCCCCAATTTCCTTCTCCCCGGGCTTTTCCTTCACCTCCCCGGGCTTTTCCAAACCTTTTCCAACGCCAAGTTCCACCCCTCTTGGTTCCATCCCATTTGTCAGACAAGGCTGACATTCAAATCAAGCGACTCAGGTAGTTGGTGATTTGGATTGGTGGTGTGGGGATTTGAACCCCTCCTGACCAACTGGGCCACTACTTGGGGCCAGCAAGAGAAAACACTAGTTTAGCATGTGTTTAGAATTGACGTTGTCCAAATTCAGCAACTATTTGCGATGCGGGATTATTGACATGACGTTTGTGTATTTAGTGGGGCGTTTATTATTCGGGAAGTGACAAATACAAACACGCGCTCTGCACCCAACATGCTTCTGTACACGCCCTCAACGTCCGTTTGAACAGGGCTTCAACCCCAAAAAGTGGAGCTTCTCCGTAAGAAGAGAAGGCTCTTGTTTCAGTTGGCGCTGCTTAAGATACATTTTCCCTGTAGTTTGCAGATCTTCTTGCATGGATCAACCAGGGGTAATGTTCTCATTCTTGCCCACTCCGTGCATTTGAAGCACAGCTTTGTTTACACAGGTGGTTCCACAAGCACTCCACAACATACACGCTCTGATGGTGAGGCTTCGTTGCCAGGCCAGGTGTAGCTGTGTAGATGATGAGGGTGGTGCCAAAAATGTAAATAATAACTAAATATTAAGATCACTCAACATATTACAACAAAAAGAGAAACATTTCAATTTAAAGAAACACATATTTTGAAAAACCGTCGCAGTCAACCTCTACTTAGTTTCTTGAGCACTGCGAAAGCCAAAGGGCAGCACTCGGGTGGCCTTTGGATCACATGGCGGGGAGGCTGGCTAGCCGGTCCCAAAACCGCACGCCTTCAGGGGCCTTCCAGTTGCTTACGATTCTTTTTCTTAAAAAACTGGCAATATAAAAGAATAACACCAAGAACCTTGTTGCTTTCAAAGGGGATATGTCACTACTGGTCAGAGTTCCTTTTTGTTCCCCTCAAGTCTCCCACAGAGGGGAAGGAGTTTTTGGCCAGGAGCTGGACCGCCTGCTGGCGCGTTTTGCGGAGCTGGCGCAGCAGTTCCAGGACTCCGAGGCCGCGGTTTTCGCGGGGCTCGGGGTTGGGGGCCTTTGGGGGGAGGCCTTAAGGGGAGGTGGGGTGGGGTGGAAGCTGGGGGTGCAAGCTGGGGGTGAAAGCTGGGGGTGGGGGGTAGGGTTGTACCTGGAGCTGGGGGTGCAGTAAGGGGTCCCGAAATACCGCTTGGGAAAGGGACCCGGCTTTTGACTTAGCGTGTTTGTCTTCTGCGCCCGGCTCAAGCCAATGTTGGGCCAGAAAGGTGGCATGGAAACCTCCAGGAGAAATAAGGTGTGAATTCTTAACGGGAACCGCGGATTAGTCGCGCCCTGGTTGAGTACGGGGCCCCCAAGATGTCAGGTTCTTTGTGGCTTGCGCTGACTCCTCAACCCACTTCGGACCGTTTGGTCACCGAAAAAAAAGAGCAGGGCGTTGGCAAAAAAGAAGAAAACGGGGGGGCGTTCCGCCCAAGAGCAGTTTTCGACCCAGACCTCTCCCCTCCAAATGTGGCGTTCGGTCCGTCCAACTTCGGGTCCGCTCCTCGTCGGCCAACTCTGCCGAAGCCGAAGCCGCGGAAGCCGGAGGCCTTCCAGTCGGCCTCCGGGCGCCTGCAGAGCGCCGCCGGGTCCGTGGCCCAGGCGCTTGTCCGCGCCCCGCGCCCGCCGGTGTCGGTGCGGGCGCGGAAGTTGGGGGTTGGAGGGCGAAGGGGAAGATGAGCCGTTGCAAAAAGGGGCTGGACTGGGGGATGCCTCATATCAGGTGGTTGGGGAAATAGATGGGAATAGTGTGAACGTTTGAAGATAGGATACTTGGTCTGATTGAATTGTCGCGGGCGATTTCGCAAAGCCCGATGGCAGTCTTGGCAGGTTTTGGGCAAGCCTGGCTCTGTTGATTGTGAATGTGTTTGGCCGAAAGATCTATATGCACATACCCCCTGTTCGCAACCCTTTGGCAGAGAGGGCTGGGAGCAGCATCAAGTTGAAGCATCGTGTAATTTGCTTCAAGCCGTAGGGATGTGTCCAAACACCCCCAGATTGGGACAACCAGATCTGAACGGCCGTATTAAAAAAAAAGAGAGGTAGATTGCAAGCAGGGCCTGTGAGGAGTGGCTTTTTTCCAATCGAGAAGCACGGTCGGCCGCTTCCTCGGGCCGCATCTCCGAAGTTCGGTCAGCTTTTGGCTGACGTGGTGGTTGGGAAGACCTGTTTTAGGGCACCCCTGACTTTTGATTTTTCCCGGGGGGTGGGCCGTTTTTCCGATCCCGCTGTTTTTTGGGGCTTGTTTTGAAAGGACTCCGAAGGGAAGCCACTCATTTTCTATGTGCGGTTCCTTTGCAGGGGTTGGTTGAAGGGAGGCCAACCGGAAACCAAAGGCAAACCAAAGCTAAACCAACGGGACACCAAAGGGAAACTAAAAGAAGCGGAACCAAGAAACAACGCAAGTAACGGACACTAGAAGCAGGCCTGAGGATAGCGCAGGGAGAAGAAAAACCGAAACCAACGGAAACCAAACACCAGCCCGCCCATTTCCCATTCAACGGCGAGCCCGGCTCTCGTCCTGTGTCAGGCCACGGCCGCGGCCGAGCAGCTGCAGCAGGCGTCCGCCAGCGCGGACTGGCGCTCTGCGGTGCAGCAGGCGAACCGGGCGCGATGAGAGCTGAAGCGGAAACCGAAGCCATGAACCGCGAAGATCTGCGAAGAGTTGGGGGAAAAACATGGGGACCGACTTGTTTCAAGAGGGGTTTCTCAGTTTTTGAGGTTTTGGTTGGGGATGTCGCCTAACTTGCAGTCAGGTGTAGGTGTGTGGTTTTGGTGGGTGCTGCTTTTGGCTTGTTTGCTATCAGCGCCGGCTGGGGTCAGGTCATTTTGGGGTTCGAAAGTCCTCCGCTGGTTCCCGGACGGAGGGTTTCGGCGTTTCCGGCTTCAGGTTGATGATTGGTGTCGGCGTTGAAGGGGAGACGATTTCTGTAGTGACCTGTGCTTGCTGCCCATAGCCTTTTGGGAATCAAATGATATTGTCCGCGGGTCATGTAGGTCGTGGTTCCTTTGGAAGTAAGATTTCCGGGGTTGATTCATGAGGTAAACGGACTCCTGAAAGCAGCTGTGCAAGCAACCCCCGTTTTGCTTTTTCCTGCAGGTGGTTTAAGGGGACGTTTGAACCCAGAAGCAAAAGAGGTCTTTCCGGCACCGCAGGGCATGGCCTCTGCATCAGACGCAGCTTCCCAGGCCGCAACGCAGGCATCGTTGGGCGCGTTTCAGGGTCTCTTAACCTAACTTGTACCTTCCATTTTTGGCCAGTCAAGGTACCACAAGGTGAGCCTTGCATTTCCAGTCCTGGCAAGGGAGTTCGCGCTGGTCGTCCAAAATCTTCCCCAAAAGCCCCCGTTTCCGCCGATGGCCATTGAGAAAAGAAGCTACGCGCGCTGTTTTTTCAGGCAGTATCAGGCAGTGCTCACGAACCCGAAAGGCGACCTTCCGAGGGCACTCGAGTGCTTGCAACTTCCAGGCAGCAGCGGCAGCGGAGCAGGCGCACAGAACTGGAGCTCTGCTTAGGTCATGCCGGTCGTTAACCGGAACCTCCGCGCCGGTCGTTCGCCGTGTGTCGCATTCTCGGCACATGGATTTGCTCATAGAAACTGGCCGCCGGACATCTCTGCACCGCAGGCCAAGGATGCCCTGCATCGCCATACATAGACCGCCCGAGGCTTTGGGCGCCTTGAGTTTGACTTGGGCTTGCTTGTTATGACGGGCCATTTTGAAGATTTCCAAGCGGCTCAGTACTACATTCTGTGATTCTCTCCAAACTGAGTGTTCCGGCATATACTAATCAATTCTTAGAACCAGCTCAATATCAATGATACAATGGCAAAATCTGCTGGACCCTCTTCATGGCGATATGATTTGGGGGGGGGGGGCAGGACTGCGCACAAATCGGCCAAGGTGCCGGCAAGCGTCCACTTGCGAAGGAAAAAGCAGAGCTCGCGTGGTTTGTGGTTTTTGACATGCCGCGGTGATGTTGGCCTGCATGGTTTGCTACTGAATGCAATAGGGGGGAACAGGGTGATGTTCTGATGTCAACACTTTGGCTCAAGTCGACACCGATGAAACCAAGTTACCGTGGAACATCAAAACGTGAGCGCGTTGATCTAGTAGCAAAACGTCGCATTCACCCTGTAAGGCAAAACAGCCAGCCTACAACGTTGCACCCAACACAAAACAGCACAGAACTCCTTACTTGGCCTTGTCTGAAACTTGGCCACTTGCCATAATGCATACCGCCAAGGAGGACGGCGTTGCACGTCATCCGATGCGTTTTGCCGTGCTTCAACAGCGCCCCACTCATGTATTGATTCAGCAAGCAAACCAGTGAATGAAGGACAATCTGCCAAGATTGTTTTCGTTTTTGTTTTCTGTGTGTATGGCTAGTGGGTTAAAAACAAGTTGTATAATCATGTTTGTGTATGTGTTTTGTTGTGTTCCGTTTTCCTTCTTGGGTTCCTCGGCTCAAATGGCAGGAGATTCCTGAAGTATTTCCACTGCTGAAGGCGGGGCATGCGCATGCGCTTCGTCAAAGCACAAGAAACTGGTAACCGGCAGTACACAAGCAAGTGTGTGGATGACCACATGCTTTAGATATTGCTTGAAGTCATTGAGTGACCTACTTGTTCTTTTGCGCTTCATCTTTTGGTTGAGCTCCAATCTTTGCAATGTACCATTTGGATGTTTGAAACATGTCGAGTTTGTGCATTCAGTGTTCAGGCACTGGGTGTTATCTATTTTGGATTAAGGAACTTGTGACTTCAGGACTTCAGGATCATGTTTGTTTTTTGAATACCTTTCCCCTTTCGAACGACATTGCATGCATGATTCAAAGGGAGACTCCTCGCTTCCGCACGAAACTTGATAGACCATGGAGTCATGGTTTTCAATACTGCAAGTTCAGGGTTGAGTCGGTTTGTCTTCAAACCGTTCTGCCTTTTAATCAGAAAAAAAACAGATCTGGCAGGATTCCCACAATGCTACGCATCTTCAAACCTGTTGAAAGACGTAAGGCTCCGCATTGATCCTCGGCTTGGGCGGAATCCTTGGCTGCAACAGACCCGTTTGGTTAGGCGTGGCTTGTATCCACCCCCAATGGCCATGGGTCAAAATCTCGCAGCCCCAGTGAACATCCCCCACTACAATAGACTACAATGGGTGGTGCACCTAGCCCAAAATGGTACCATTGGTTTTGACCCACAGCCAAATGTGTCAACAGACACCCGTTTCTGAGCGTTCTCGAAGGTACATCAGACTGTCAACCACAAGTGCACCAGTGTATGTTTGACAGGTTTGTCAGCTCATTTTCGGGAACGGATGCGCGGACAACGCATTTTTGCCATGGTTTGATGTAATCCAGGTGTATTCTTTCTGAGCCACACCAAAAAACAAGCTTATCATATTTCCGTTTCGTGGTGCAGACGTCACCTTGTAGTAGCCAATGGATTTTCACCTCGGGGGGCCATGTTGAGTCGGGCCATGGCATTGAGTCGGCCAGAGGCTATTCCCCCCCCTTGGAAAACCCATGCTACAGTTCGTTCGTGTTTTTAACCCAGGGAGCCAATTGTTTTTTGAGGGAAGACAAAGGAACCCACCGCATATCAGAGGCAATCCAAAGCTTGTAGCCCAGGTTTTGTCCCAGGGGCTTGTAACCCAGGCTTTTTCAGGTTTCGTTGTAAGCCGGGTCTTTTTCAGGGAATAAGCCGGGTCTTTTTCAGGGAAAGTTTCCCACCCTCCCCCGGGTTTTGGGCCGTCAAAGTCCGAGCGCCCGAGCGCCCGATGTGTCCGAGTGCCACGCGTTTTCGCCGCCGGGAGGTTTCGGCGCCCATCCCGGTGGGGCGCCTGGCGGGGCGCTTCAAGCTGCAGCTGTGGCGCGCCAGCGCGGAGCACCGGCTGCAGCTGGCGCTGGGCGCTAGCACCCAAGGCGTCTTGGAGGGATGTGGGTGGTGGGGGGTGCATGGAGCTGGCGGGTGGATGGGTAGAGTCGGTGGATGGATGGGAGATGGGTGGAGATGGGTGGAGAGAGGTGGAGATGGGAGATGGGTGGAGCAGAAAGATGGGAGGAGTGCTGAACTAGGGTGTGGGTTTGGATTTGGTGAGGGGGAAGGGGAGGAAGGGAGCTAGGGGGAAGCAGGAAGTGAGGGGGATACAAGAAATCTTCCGTTTAGTTTCCTACTTAGGACGAAATCCAAACACGAAGCAAATTAGCTCAAGCTCGTCAATCAGGGCCCCTGCATGTTCAGTGCCCCAAAACACAATGTTTCTGGTTTCAAAGCGGCTTTTCACCGCCAACACAAGTTGTCCGCAGCTTTCAAAACCCACAGCGTCCAAAAGCCATGTTGGGGACTTGGGGCGCCATCAGTTGCTGATTGGGGATGGAGTTTTTTGCGTTTTTTTGACCACGGGAAACTCGCAAGGCGTCCGGTAATATTTCTCACAGTGCGAACCCAACACAGAGCACGTGGAAGGGCCTTGACACGCGCCAGACTCCCATGTCTAGGCACGGAGGAGTTCGGTGGGTTTTTTTTCAGACAAAACAGGTGTCCTCGACATTTGTAGCCTCTTGGGTGGGCTTGGCGCGCATGGTTTGCATAATTTCTTGCAAAGGTTGCCCGCGAATTGCCGGGCAAGTTTCTGGTTTGCCTGGGGCAAAACCCAACTCGATTGAGCTTCGCATGGGTGTTAGACATGAGTTGTGCTTGGGGCCGGCAAGTGGGTGTTTCAGAAGGTGGCTGCCGGCGTTTGTGGCCGGTGCTACTTTGTTTGCATTTGGAACACCCGAAAGGGGCGTCCTTTTTGTGAATCCCAAGTTCAAGTCGCCTGCCCATGCGATTTGATTTGCAGGTGATGTAGTGGTGATGAGCGACTTCAACCACCTGGGCATCTACAAAGGTGATCAGGCAAGGCGAAATCTAACCAAACCCACCCAGTTGCCGAACTTCTTGCAGCTCCCGGGTACGTCGATCATGATGGTCCTGATTTGTGGAGTCCGTTGCCTCAGGTTTTGGGATCATTTTTTGTGAATCGCAAACTTGCAAACCCATGACAAAGGTCCCTTAGACTTTGCTTAGCTGTTGTTGGATTGATTCACTTCGGGAGTGTAAAATGTAGGGGAGCGCCCCATGTTGACCTATCCAAACGGCTTTCCTTTTCCTTTTCCGCGGGACGTGTTCGGAAAATATGACACTAGTTTGCACTTGCATTTGGAGGGCCCAATCTCACAAGGAAAGACAAGGGCAGCATCCTTCTGGATCCCGCTATGGGATCCAGAGCTTGTGAAAAGAACACCTTTTTTCCCGTTGAGGCCCTTCGAATCCCGGCCACCTGCAACGCCCTGGTGGATTTTGGTCAGGTTTCTTGGGGCTCGGGGGGTTGAGAACCGGAAAAGGTGCGGCCAACTTGAACATGGCTAGTGGGATTGAAATAGAAATATATGTTGTTTGAACATGGGTAAAGCTTGAACCATCTTCGACATCTTCAAACAAACTTCAACTCATTTTTTTTGGTTTCTCTTTCAAGGTGACTGGGATTACTCCGGGTCAGTCGGATGACTCAGCACCGGCGAGGTGCTCCTGGTGAACGACGTGGCGGTCAAGGACCTGCAGCATTTCGCGGAGCTCTTGGAGCAATGCGACCAGGAGGCGGGAGAAACGAGATGTGGCTGTGGTTGTCAAAACCGTTTTGGGATCCTATTTTGGGTAGGTGCACCAACCTATTTTAGTCTATTTCAAGCCGTTTTGGGATCCCATTTTGGTTGGGATTGGTGAATTCACCACCCATTTTAGGACCTATTTTAGTGGCTGGATTGGGATGTTAACAGGGGGTATGGGATTTTGACCCCATGGCCATGTAACACTGGACGCTCCAGACCCTGGTTGTTTTTCCTCAGTGTCCCTTAGAGGATACCATCAGGTAGCCAATCCGGGCAGTTTGGATCGGCGATTCGAAGCCATGGTTTTCGTGGAGAAATGGGCTGATCTTCTTTCTCAATGTCCCTCAAAGGATAGGAATCCATTTCAGCAGATGCATCACATAGGTGTACTTCTGTGTTGTTTTCGGGTTCCCGCGCTGAGCTTGCTTTGAGTGTCCCTCAAAGGATACCAGCCAGGGCCCAATATTTCCCTTTCCTAAGTGGACTTTCCTGAGTGGAGGTTGAGCTTTTAAGACACCGTTGAAACTGCCAGTTTCCAGCGGCGCAAAATGGCGCAGACGTATATTTTGCGCCGCTATTATAGGAGATATTCCCAGAATCAATTTTGGCCCGTATTCTTAGTATTCTATTAGAAATTATTGATGCATAATGGCAAAGATCCCCCAAACGTTTTAGTGTTGTGGAACTACTTGGTGTGAATGATCTCTATTTGAAAGGTACGGGCGACCCCTGTCAAAGATCTTCTATTTGAATTGCACAGTGTTTCGGGGTTTCATTCGTGGAGCATATGAGCGAAGCAATATTGTCAGTAGTCCCTGTCGATTTGTGGGAGGACATGTGTGGAGCAGGGGAAACATCCGATTTCCCGGTTTCCTCTTGAGGGGGAAGGAATAGCGTGCACGGGGTATGTTTCCATGTGGTTTGGAAGGTTTTCCGGTTGTGGCTCAAACCAATACTATGCAACAATCCTTTTTGGACTTGACCAAGGGAGACGCCTTTGGATGCCCCGGTTGCGCCAAACACTTAAGTTGGAAGATATTATAGCTGCCGTAAACCACGGACAGACTGCAAGAGTGGCAAATTGGAAGAGTCAACTTTGTTCTGAGCTTTCGTGTTTCTATTTGCTCCGCTCTGCCGGAGCTGTACTATGGGCTATCCGCAAATACGAATTTGTATGAAAATGGTCTCCATCAAAAGCTCAGGCAAGACACAAACCCAAACTTATCGCCCGCAAACGGGTCTCAAAACATCAGAGCCGTTGATCTACGGCGGAGGAATCTACTTTCGGCTCAGGGGTCCCAGGGCGGAACACGGCTCTGGAACGCGGCAACAAGGTCTCTCTCCACAGAACCTATAATGTACATGTTAGTATATCTAAGGTGATGGTAACTGAATTGTATTTAAGGTGATAGTTATTGTACATACCTATATTTAGGGCACATATTATATTGAACATATATTCAGTATATCTGGTATTTATTCCTATGTACATATTTGTATTCAAGGTGATGGTAACGGACTGTTCGGACAGGAAAAACGACCTGGGCCCATCAGAGGTGGGGCGGTTCCAAACTCCGAGGCACCACCGGAACTGCTCACGGAGAAGTTTGGCTATCTGGCCGTGGTTGTCAAAACCAATGGGATCCCATTTTGGTTGGGATTGGTGAATTCACCACCCATTTTAGGACCTATTTTAGTGGTTGGATTGAATCGAATGTTCACTGGGGGTACGATTTGGATTTTGACCCATGGCCATATGGTGGCATTGTTTGTGAAAGTCAGTTTCTCCCTGCAATTTAGCCAGCCCAGCTTGATTCACAGCTGCTTTTTCAATGGCCCCCAAGGAAACACATGGCTGACTGTTGAGAATGGCCCCTAAATCCAGGCTAGACATGTGCTGACTGTCGGCCTCAAAAACAAAAGTGCTCACTCACCTTTCTAAACTCAGTGTAGTCAACACTTACCTACCAAGGGCGAAAACCATTTTCTGTATTTTTCCACCAGCAAACTGAGACGGGCCGTTTTCTTAAATTTCCACCAGTGTTGCTTGGACGGATTTTGGTTGACCATGCACAAGCTGCTGTTTGACCAGTTTGTGGTTAAAAAGGGAATATGTTCTATTTGATTTTGTCCGCGCACTATCTTTTCATTGGCCGCTTGTGTTGGTGGCACAACATCTTCTATTTGAAAAGAAGGGCAAACAGACATTTGCAAGCGTGAAACACTGCACAGTGACAGAGTGATGGAACTTTTTCCGAGAGAGCATAACACAATTTTGGTTTTGAAACCATTTGCTCTGATTCGAAGGTACTCTTTCCGAATCGACTTACCATGACGCATCCCTTGAAACGATGATATTGCAATCACCTTCCAAGCGGAGTTTTACATTCGCCTGGGGAACGCATGGTGCGATTCAAAAAGGAGATGTTGGCATGTTCGAGTCCAACATATGGTTTGGAGGTGCAGGTTGCAGTTGCAATTTCTTCTATTAGAAATGTTTGGGTGCCCCCATAAAATGGCATCGTCGGTTGTTTCAATCTTGCCACTGGCTTGGTACCGGACACAGCAGGCAGGAATCCCAGGTTTCCTTCTCATCCACTGCTTCCTGCCAGGTAGAGATCCACTTCTACCACAAGGCGCGGAGCAAGCGGGCTGTGAGGTTCGGGCAGTGTATGTCCGGATTCTATGGTCCATTTGGGGCTGGGGACAGCGAGCTGTGAATGTCAGCCAACACAAATTTGTGGTGTCCTGTTTTTTCTACGTGCAGCAGACAATCTGCCCACTTCTCAATGCAAATTGTGGTTGTTTTTAGTCTGCGGTTTGGCTCCACTGTGGGCTGTCTAAACCTTCCCCCTTGTTTGTGCTTTTCTTTTCGCTCTATTTGTTTGCAACGCAGTTGCCACCTTGGGTCTGATATTTTGTTTCTTCTTCTTCTTCTCTCTCTCTCTCTTTTCCGTTGTTAGGGTTTGGCGTGTTCTTTTTGACATGGGAAGGTTTTGGCCCCCCCCCCAAGAATGACTGCCGAGCTCACGGAGCTCGGAAAGGTTGCACCTGAGCCCTGGACACCCCTTACACCCGAAAGGAGTTGATTGGTGGTTCGGGTTGGCGGCTTGGGCATTTGTTGGCTGTTGTAGAGGGTAAATGGGAAACCACCCCACCAAACCACCAAACCACCAAAGCGCCAAACCACCAAACCACCAAACCACCAAACCACCAAACCACCAAAGCACCAAACCACCAAACCACCAAACCACCAAAGCGCCAAACCACCAAACCACCAAACCACCACCAAACCACCAAACACCAAACCACCAAACCACCAAACCACCAAACCACCAAAGCGCCAAACCACCAAACCACCAAACCACCAAACCACCAAAGCACCAACCACCAAACCACCAAACCACCAAAGCGCCCAAACCACCAAACCACCAAACCACCACCAAACCACCAAACCACCAAACACCACCAAAACCACCACCAAACCACCAAAGCACCAAACCACCAAACCACCAAACCACCAAACCACCAAAGCGCCAAACCACCAAACCACCAACCACCACCACCAAAGCACCACCACCAAACCACCAAACCACCAAACCACCAAACCGCCAAAGCGCCAAACCACCAAACCACCAAACCACCAAACCACCAAACCACCCAAAGCACCAAACCACCAAACCACCAACCCACCAAACCACCAAAGCGCCAAACCACCAAACCACCAAACCACCAAAGCACCAAACCACCAAACCACCAAACCACCAAAGCGCCAAACCACCAAACCACCAAAGCGCCAAACCACCAAACCACCAAACCACCAAACCACCAAACCACCAAAGCACCAAACCACCAAACCACCAAACCACCAAAGCGCCAAACCACCAAACCACCAAACCACCAAAGCACCAAACCACCAAAGCACCAAACACCCAAACCACCAAAGCGCCAAAGCACCAAACCACCAAACCACCAAACCACCAAACCACCAAAGCACCAAACCACCAAACCACCAAAGCGCCAAACCACCAAACCACCAAACCACCAAACCACCAAAGCGCCAAACCACCAAAGCGCCAAACCACCAAACCACCAAACCACCAAAGCGCCAAACCACCAAAGCGCCAAACCACCAAACCACCAAAGCACCAAACCACCAAAGCGCCAAACCACCAAACCACCAAACCACCAAACCACCAAAGCACCAAACCACCAAACCACCAAACCACCAAAGCGCCAAACCACCAAACCACCAAACCACCAACCAACCAAAGCACCAAACCACCAAAGCACCAAAGCACCAAAGCGCCAAACCACCAAACCACCAAACCACCAAACCACCAAAGCACCAAACCACCAAACCACCAAACCACCAAACCACCAAAGCGCCAAACCACCAAACCACCAAACCACCAAACCACCAAACCACCAAAGCACAAAACCACCAAACCACCAAACCACCAAACCACCAAAGCGCCAAACCACCAAACCACCAAACCACCAAACCACCAAACCACCAAAGCACCAAACCACCAAACCACCAAAGCGCCAAAGCGCCAAACCACCAAACCACCAAACCACCAAAGCACCAAACCACCAAACCACCAAACCACCAAAGCGCCAAACCACCAAACCACCAAACCACCAAATTGCCAAACCACCAAAGCGCCAAACCACCAAACCACCAAAGCACCAAACCACCAAAGCACCAAACCGCCAAACCACCAAAGCACCAAACCACCAAACCACCAAACCGCCAAACCACCAAACCACCAAACCACCAAACCACCAAACCAGGAAACCACCAAAGCACCAAAGCACCAAACCACCAAAGCACCAAAGCACCAAAGCACCAAACCACCAAACCACCAAACCACCAAAGCGCCAAACCACCAAACCACCAAACCACCAAAGCACCAAACCACCAAAGCGCCAAACCACCAAACCACCAAAGCACCAAACCACCAAAGCGCCAAACCACCAAACCACCAAACCACCAAACCACCAAAGCACCAAACCACCAAACCACCAAACCACCAAAGCACCAAAGCACCAAAACACAAAGCACCAAAGCACCAAACCACCAAACCACCAAACCACCAAAGCACCAAACCACCAAACACCAAAGCACCAAAGCACCAAACCACCAAACCACCAAACCACCAAAGCACCAAAGCACCAAAGCACCAAACCACCAAACCACCAAACCACCAAAGCACCAAAGCACCAAAACACCAAAGCACCAAAGCACCAAACCACCAAACCACCAAACCACCAAAGCACCAAACCACCAAACCACCAAAGCACCAAAGCACCAAACCACCAAACCACCAAACCACCAAAGCACCAAAGCACCAAAGCACCAAACCACCAAACCACCAAACCACCAAAGCACCAAAGCACCAAAACCAAAGCACCAAAGCCACCAAAACCACCAAGCACCAAACCACCAAACCACCAAAGCACCAAAGCACCAAACCACCAAACCACCAAACCACCAAAGCACCAAAGCACCAAAGCACCAAACCACCAAACCACCAAACCACCAAAGCACCAAAGCACCAAAACACCAAAGCACCAAAGCACCAAACCACCAATCCACCAAAGCACCAAACCACCAAAGCGCCAAACCACCAAACCACCAAACCACCAAACCACCAAAGCACCAAAGCACCAAACCACCAAAGCACCAAACCACCAAAGCACCAAAGCACCAAAGCACCAAGCCACCAAACCACCAAACCACCAAACCACCAAACCACCAAAGCGCCAAACCACCAAACCACCAAACCACCAAAGCACCAAACCACCAAACCACCAAAGCACCAAACCACCAAAGCACCAAACCACCAAACCACCAAAGCACCAAATCACCAAAGCACCAAACCACCAAACCACCAAACCACCAAAGCACCAAGCCACCAAACCACCAAACCACCAAAGCACCAAACCACCAAAGCACCAAACCACCAAACCACCAAAGCACCAAAGCACCAAAGCACCAAACCACCAAACCACCAAACCACCAAAGCACCAAGCCACCAAACCACCAAAGCACCAAACCACCAAACCACCAAAGCACCAAAGCACCAAACCACCAAAGCACCAAACCACCAATCCACCAATCCACTAAAAAACCAAACCACCAAACCACCAAACCACCAAAGCACCAAGCCACCAAACCACCAAAACACCAAACCACCAAACCACCAAAGCACCAAAGCACCAAACCACCAAAGCACCAAACCATCAATCCACCAATCCACTAAAAACACCAAAGCACCAAACCACCAAAGCACCAAAGCACCAAACCACCAAAGCACCAAACCACCAAACCACCAAAGCACCAAAGCACCAAAGCACCAAGCCACCAAACCACCAAAGCACCAAGCCACCAAACCACCAAAGCACCAAACCACCAAACCACCAAAGCACGAAAGCACCAAACCACCAAAGCACCAAACCACCAATCCACCAATCCACTAAAAAAACCAAACCACCAAACCACCAATCCAAGTTAGGGGTAGGTTGAGGATCAAGACCCCGAGCCCGAAGTGCCTTTCGCCTTTCGCTTGGGGTCTTCGCCTTCGGGAATCGGATCCGGTGGCTCGCCTCGACCAATCGATGGGCCGAGTTTTGATTTTTCGATCGCAGGAGTTCGGGGGGCAGACCGGGGAGGACAGGGCGGGCGGGGAAAACACTTCCCGTGCCGTGCCGAGCCAAGAAGAGAGAGACAGATTGCAGCTGAGCATCTAAAGGCAAAGCCCCAAGCATGTTCACCCGGAGAAAAGGACCTGGCAGATCATGAAAGCAGGTGTTTTTAGCGAAAGTGATCCAGATCATTAGCCAGGGATCTCCGTCGCAGTGCTGGTCGTCGCTTGAAGGGCTTTTGGGGGAGAGGGAGATCTTGTTGAACTGCGGGGACCCCATTCCAGAAGGTCATCATTAGGTTCATTCAGAGCTTTGCACTTTTGTCAGGCCATATTGTGTCTGTGGTTGGGCTCTCATCCATATGTGTTTTTTTTTGGTTTGGCTCGTGTACCAATTTGTCCGCTCGGCATATTGATGATATGGCCGTGGGGCAACACCAATGGAATCCCATTTTGGTTGGTAGGTGAATTCACCACTCAATTAAGAACCTATTTTAGAGGGAATTGGATGGGGATGTTCAGAGGGGGCTAGTCGATTTGGCTTTTGAAAAACCCGTGGCCATGTTTTTGCTGGTTCCCCCCGCGTGCTTCTCTTGTTTCGGAACAGGAGGACGTCTTCGACACGTGCTGCTCTCCCATCTGCACACCTCAGCTGATGCCGATGTGGCAGCCTCAGGGCAGCGCAGACTCGACTCGCTGAGGGCGTGTTTCTCGTTTTTTTCTCGGTTTCGCGGCTCAGAGCAGCGGCTCGTTTTTGGTTGGTGGGAAGGGGAAACGGGAAGGAAGCGGAGATGCTCTTGGACCTGGACAAAAAAAATGGGAACACATGGCTGTGGCTCAAAAAACCGGAATTCCAAAATGGAACTGGACCAAACTTGCGTATCCTTTGCTGTTTAATTTTGAGCCACACCCACATGATGACATCTCGAAAGAGCCTGTGATTTCAGCTGGATTTGTCGGGCCTGCCATGGGGAAGCAAGGGATTCCCAAGTCAGCAAGTCCTTTTCAGCGCCCGCAGAAAAACGAAGATCAGAACGCGGGGGCTCGTTTTGAGACACCTCCAAGCTTGTTTTGCTGAGGTGGTGCGATTTCTTCTTCAATCCTCCAGAGCCCAGGCGCACAGGGACTGCAACGGGGAACCAACCAGTGGGTCTGCGGGTTTCCGGGTTCATTTTTCCCCCATGGCTGAATAGTTGATGGTTTGTTTGTGCTTGGCAAACAACGATGGTGTTTCTCCTTTTTTTGCACGATGTTTTACGGCTGGCCTTTCATGCTGGCCAGTGTGGAGGGTTCGACTTGCTTGTTTCAAGAGTCTGGTGTCCCAACCGTCCTGGGCATTGCTCAGTTAGACGTACGCCCATCTCGACGGAAGCATGTCACAGAAATTCCCTATGTTTCCCTTCTTGGCTTGAAACATCACCTTTTGGCCCGTTTCGCGTGAGCTTCTCTTGGTAGAGGGGATATTCGGGGAAATCTGGGCGTTTCTTGCTGGTTCCCCAAAGCCTTCCTCTTTTGGCAAGCCCCAAAAGATCCCAAAATTTGTACTTGACACGCCTTGAAGCATCGGTTGAACACCGTAAGGAACAGCCGCGTTTCTACTGACCGTCAGTCGGATCCAATTGACAAGTTGTGACCTGTTGAGTGCAACACTTTCTGTTTGCAAACCTTGAGACCTGGCTGCTACGAGTTTTAAGAATTCTGTTTTTTTTTGGGCAAGGAAATCATTCGGAGCGAGAAGATGTTATTGAGTTGGGATCTATGTCATTCGTTTCCATTTCTTGACATAGCCAGCCTTGTCTACTATGCGGTGTTGGAGGTTATGGACCCCTTTTATGGAGCCCCCTTTCGTTCGCACGAACGACTCGCTGAAGGTCCGATTGGTTGTGGGAAGCAAGGTTCGGGTTTCTCATTCTCTGTGAGTGGCCACGGAAATCCCGGCAAAGTCATAAGCAGTCATGGTCATGGTTGGACGGAAATCAACCACTTAGGTGCCAAAGTCAGGCATGTTCGAGAACCATGTTCAAAGCCTGGGCATCCTCCAAATTGAAGACAGGTCCGTGGTAAGACGTGCGTTGGTGAGAGCTGGACATGCGTTATTTCGTTCGGCTGGATCTCTCCTTTGACATTTTGCCATGGTTTAGGCGGTTTTTGCCATAGAAGCCCACTTTGCTTCAACGATTCTTGCCCAGAAGGAGACCATCCTTTTTTGAACCCCTTTTTTGAATGAGCTGGGGGCCGTGCTGTGCTCCTTTTTCTTTTTTGACTTTTGGCGGGAAAATCAAGGGATCACCCTGGTGACACAGTGGATGGACAAAATCTGCTTTGCAGTTGAAATGGATTAAGCTGACATGGGAACGACCGCATACCAACCAGTGCAGTATTTTTTTCCGTCCATATGCTAGTGGGCTAGTGGGCGAAGGTTGTTTGACTGGCATGCAGAAGCGCACAGATTTCTATACTTCTCATCCCAGCCGCGAGAAACCCTCGTCGATCCTGTCGGCCTATGTATATCATCAAACACACATATATATATATATGTATATGTATATATGGTCACCCCCCATGATCCACACCTAGAACGATATACATATATATATATATATATGCATATTCCTGCGAGCCGAATACTGAGTAATTCGAGGCCAAGGTGAGAGGGCCGGTTTCGGACGCCCCTGGCCTCGCGTTCGGACGACGGCTTCGCGCAGCGCAGGTGCCGCGCCAGTCGCTGGCCGCTGCGGGAGGTGCTGGCGGCCTCCAAGGCCTCGGTGCTGCCCAGCGCGGGGCCCGGTCGCGGGGTCGGTCGGGCGTTGGTCGGTGAGGCGGTTGGTTTGTTGGTCGGTGAAGGGTTGGTTTGTTGGTTTGTTGGTGTGTTGGGGCGGTTGGTTGGCTTAGTTTCCGAAGTTGATCCATTTTCTCTTTGATTGGCCATTCTTTTCGCCGCTGGTTTAGGTTTTGTTTTTGTTGGAGCAAGTGGTGTTGATCTTTGCTTTTTAGGGTGGAGGGGGTGGGGAAGTGTTGCTAGGTTTCTCGCGCGAGGCTCCGTGAGGAAGAGTCCTTGCAATGAGTCGGAGCCTGTTGAACGCACCTGGTGAGTTTGGGGGTAAAACATTGAACAAGCCCAGGATGATCGCTGATGAGGTTCACATGAAGCATATATACAAAGCTCAGAGTCCCCGGTAATTTTCATGCCATGATTTGATTTACTCCGCTGACATCAATCCACCACTTGAGGCTGAAATCCAGGTATGAACGTCCTCATCGACTATTTCTCCTTGCCCCTGTGGCAAGGAATCCTTGGGTCAAGGGAACCTTTTGAGAGTTTTGAGCATGGTGTACTGGACATCCACTTCATTTCATCGGACAAATGTCGATTGGATCTCGTTTGACCTTATTTGACCTTGGCAGGTCTAACTATGAACAAACAAAACCCGTCTTGTTTCCGATGTTGTGGTGCAAAACCTGAGGTCGCAAGTCTCAAAAACTCGCATCACAAATCTCAAGCATTGTAAAACCAGAAGAATTCCGAGAGGTCAGGGATCAACAACTCACATCCCGACTTCCCGGACTTCACACTTTGGGGCGGTGGCTCTGCCGAGGTGGCCTGCTTCAGCTGCGGCTGCACCGGGGTTCCCTGAAGCAGCCCGCAGCAAAAACAAACACGAGCCAGACGGTTTTTTGAGTGGGTTCGCAGGGATTCTCTCGGAGAGAGAGAGAAAGAGAGAGAGAGGGGGAGAGGGGGCCGTGTTTTTGTTTTTCCTCGTTTTTTTTTTTTTTTTGGGGGGGGGGGGTGTTTTGAGGGTTGCAACTTGTTTTTTTGGTCAAAGGAAAGCTGAGAGGAAGCCAACGCCAGCTTCAGTTTGTTTTTACTTTCTCCCCGGTGAGAAAAGCCGAGTTTGGCGCTTGGAGTTGTTTGGTGGAATCCAGTGACTCTAGACTGAGCTTTGCATTCAAAAGGAGTGTTGGCCCAAACTCTGGTGCGTTCCTTGTGGGTTTCCCTCCAAACAAGCCGCATCACGACGCACCCTTCCCCGGATTTGGGGATACCCTTACATGGAGGAGTCATGTCTGGTGAAGAATAGCACGCTTCACTGCAACCAGTGAAGTCTGCCCTAGAGACGGTTTTTGATGCCTGTGGCTGCTCAGCTGTGTGCAATCTTTCTTGGCGCATGGGGCCCGCATCGCCATTTGGCGTGCTTTATTTTTTGGTGTTGACAGGCAAAACTTCACGGAGTGCTGGTTGGCTTCAATCTTGTGATTTGTTTCCTCGACGTGTGATTTTCCTTTTCCCGGTATTGCTTTGACCGGACATGAGTTACGTGAACAAGCACCAGCACTTTCAGTTTCTCACCTCTTTTGCGACAAAACCATTTGTCTTTCCGCTTCCGAGCTGCTGCGTCAGGCAGAGTTTTGGACTTCCGCTGGGCTTCTTGCCAAAAGATTGCGAAGCCTCGGATGTCTCGAACATCGCCTCTGAGGACCGATCGCTTGATCGCGCGTTACCTCTGGCATTTTCGCAGGCAATATGCACCCCGCATAGATCAACTTCGTGGATCGTTCGGGTTTTTCCCCTAAAGGATCTCGCTCTAAACAATGGCACCCCTATGAATCCGCCAGGGGATTGTTCATCTTGGGTTTCCACTTAGTCAACAGGATCTTGAAAGAGATGCCCAGGCGCGAAAAGCACGCGCAAGTTCGGTCAGCAGCTTTCGTCGGCCCTACCCCGCCAAGAGAAGACGAAGTAGAACAGTTTGAAGGTGGTTTTCGCACAGGAGCAGAACCTGAAAAGTTTCGACGTGATCTTCGCGTTGTGCCTGACATCCGAACGTTTGAAGGGGGCCTCCAGGTCGTCAATCACACCTTGGGAAAATTGAAAGTGACTTTTGCACTGTGGCCGGCGCGCGAGTGATGCGCGAGTGATTGAGGGTGACTTGCGCCTTGCGATTTGCGCGGAATGACGTGTTTCTGACGACGTGTTTCATACCGTCAGCCTACGTCGGAGTACTTCGAAGCCTTCCTTCGAAGCCCTTCGCAACAAATCCATGAAACGTAACTTGATGTTGTGTAGTTTAACCGCTTCAACGCCTTCAACACGTTGAAAGAAAAGCGGCTTCTAGCTCCAACGCCTTCGTCTGCCTTACGCGCAAGCCTGGGTCTTTGCCCCGCTGAGCGCCTTGCCGTCGCGAGGACGGCCTGCTGAAGCCTCCCCGGCCCGCGCTCTGCGTGGTGGAGTCCTTTAGCTCCGAGACGGAGGCGAGCGGCGAGGGGTCGACATCTCTCCGCTTGGCGGGGGCCGGGACAAGTGGGGCTTTGAAGACGGGGCACCTGCGGTTTTAGTGGCCCTTGTTTAAAACCAGCTTGGAACAGCTTTAAAAGGCCGTTTTGGTTTTCTTGTGGGGGAGGGGGACCTGAAAGAGGGGGCTCGACGCAGGCCCGGTTGAGCTGCGCCTTCTGTATTTCTTCGTTTGATTTTTTGGACCAATCGTTGCATTGCATGGGCGTTTGAAGGGCCTTCCTTTGAAGGCGAATCCTGCGACCGAAGCAGATGTCTCACTTGGCGTTCTGGCTAAAAGGCCGCTGTTAAGGGGTGTCCCTTTTGTGCGCTGTTTGTCCTTTGCAGACCGCAGCAGCCGGTATGGAAGCTGCGCACCGGGCTGCTCATATCAGGGTTATACAGCTCACTCCTTGGGCGTTATGAATGTTGAGCCCCCCCGAAGAGTACTTAGGTTTCCACTGACTTCCCTTGAAGCTCAAAGGATCCCTGCCATCCCCAAAGGGTCGGATCCCTGTGGGGTACAAATTGTTCGATTCCTTGAAGCCATCCCCCACAAAGGGCTCCACGCGCTCCGTGCGCGGAGCGGGCTCGAGGCAGAGTCCCCCTGGCGCGACTCGTGGCTCCGGCAGGCGGAGGAGCAGATCGAGGCGCGCTTTGGGAAAAAGCGCGCGCCGTTTTTGCCGGGGTTCCGGGCCCCGAGATGAGAAAGGGCCCTCCATTTCTCGGCGCTGCTGCTCGATTTTTCGAGTTGACCAACTCCAAAATCGGAACCACGGCGAGCCCTCAGTTCCAGCGCTCGCCCTTGGCCGGCCAAGCGCAGGTGGAAGCCAGCCCGGCGGGCAGCCGCAGCTCGGCAGGATCACAGAAGGAGAAGGCAGAACTTTGGTGCCCTGCGAAGGTGATGCTATTATGGTTGCTGCTACTGCTACTACCCACTACCACTACCACTTCTTACTACTACTACTACTACTACTACTACTACTACTACTACTACTACTACTACTACGAGTACTACTTCTACTAGTACTACTACCACGACTACTACTACTACTACTACTACTACTGCTGCTACTACTACTACTACTACTAGTACTACTATTACCACTACTACTACTACTTTCGCTACAAGTAACACGGCGAAGCCCATCCGGAAAATTCAAGAATCTAACACTGCAGCAATCATTCTTTCCCCTTCCTTCTTTCCTTCCGTCATTCCTTTTTTTATTTATTTCCTTCTTCCTTGCTTGCTTGCTTCCTTCCTTCCTTCTTCCTTCCGGCTTCCTTCCTTCCTTCCTTCCTTCCTTCCTTCGTTCTTCCTTCCGGCTTTCTTTCAGTCTTTCTGTTTTTCGGCGACGTAGTCTTTCATTCTTTTATTATGTCTTTCTTTCTTTCTTTCTTTCTTTGGTTATGTATTTGGTTCTTTTGTTCTTTATTTTCTTCTTTCTTTCTTTCTTTCTTTCTTTCTTTCTTTTTTGTTTTATATTTGTTTATTTACTGATTATTTGTTTGTTTCTTGTTTTTTTTTCCTCCTTCCGTGTTTTCTTCCCCTGTCTTTCTGTGACTCATTCATTCTTTCTTTCTGTTTTCTTTCTGAATTCTTTATGTCTGTCTGCCTTTCTTTCTTTCTTTCTTTCTTCCATTCTTGGTTTCTTTCTTCCTTCCTTCCTCTAATTCTTTTCCATCTTATTCTTTCTGGTTTTGCTGTCTATCCAACTTTTCAGCCTGTATAGTCTGAGGATGTTGTCTCTCTGTTTGTCTGTCTATCTAGTATTCTATCTATCTAATCTTTTTATGCACTTTCTTTCTTTCTTTCTTTCTTTCTTCTTTCTTCCTTTCAACCTGCGTCCTATCTATCTATCTATCTGTCTATCTATCTATCCGTCTATCTATCTATCGTATCTATCTATCTATCTACCTATCTATCTATCTATCTATCTATCTATCTATCTATCTATTTGTCTGTCTGTCTGTCTATCTATCTATCTATTTGTCTGTCTGTGTATCTATCTATCTGTCTATCTATCTATCGTATCTATCTATCTATCTATCTATCTATCTATCTATCTATCTATCTAATCTAATCTAATCTAATCTAATCTAATCTAATCTAATCTATCTATCTATCTATCTATCTATCTATCTATCTATCTATCTATCTAATCTAATCTAATCTAATCTAATCTAATCTATCTATCTATCTATCTATCTATCTATCTATCTATCTATCTATCTATCTATCTATCAATCTATTTGTCTATCTATCTATCTATATCGATTTATCTATCTATCTATCTATCTATCTATCTATCTATCTATTTATCTATCTATCTAATCTATCTATCTATCTATCTATCTATCTATCTATCTATCTATCTATCTATCTATCTATCTATCTCTACCTCTTGTTCTTACTTATCTGTCTATCTAGTAGCTTGCCGTTTCCTCCATCTGCACTATCCTCACTTTCTACGTACTTATGTATCTTCCTACCCAATCTGATCCAACCCAATCTAGTCTAATCTCATTACCCATCTTCTATCTAACTATCTATCGATCCATCTACCTATCTATGTATCTATATATTTCTTGGTCTTTCTATTATATATATATACATGTATAGCCATCATATCTCTATCTTTTTCCGTCTATCTACCCACATACCTATCTTCTCAAAACGCTGCAGTTGCCAGGAAATCCGTACCCGACCTTCTGAAAGTGCTGATGCGCCTGCCACCAAATCCGTACCTGACCTCGTGAAAGTGCTGATGCGCCTGCCACGAAATCTACCTGACCTTGCAAAAGTGCTGCGCCTGCTGCGGAAATCACAGGCCTGCGCCGGCGACAGTGGCGTGCCTGCCACGAAATCTGCACGGCGCTGCAGTGAGCTTTTCGCTCTGAAGCTGCTCCAAGACTGTGTCGCGACGAGGAAGCCACATGCCCATCATTCTTTCTTCATCCTATCTGTGCGCAAGACCACCTTCTACTAGTGTCTGCAACAACAACAAAACTTCCCTTGACTACAACCTACCATTACTGACACTACTGTTCTTACTAGTACGATTACTCCCACAGCTACTACAGCTCCCACAGTTTTCTCTGTCAGCGCATGCTAGAACGACTATTGCTATTCCTTTTTAACTGCTATGCGGCTTACTTGGCTGCTACCTTTTTCACAACGACTGCCATTTTCCCAGTATTTTCACGGACGCTTCTGAGCACTCAAACTACTGGTGCTAGCATAGTACTCACGCTAGTAGTAGTACTAGCACTAGCACTAGCACTAGCACGAGTACAAGTACGAGTAGTCTCAGCCGGGCCCACCCCAAATTTCTCCACTCTACATGTGTCCGTTTTTGATCACGTATTTGATCTACCCATGAAAGGCCTGCAGTTTGCTCCAGTTTCCCTCGTTTCCTAGTTTTGCTCAGCTTTCTCGCGCGCAGTGCCCAACAAGAGAGTGCTGCATGAATTCCAATCATATGGTAGAAGGCAGGAAGCCTCTTCAAGACTCACTGAGGGGGCACGCTGGTGGTGCTCCAGCCGCTGCCCTTGCTGGGCCTTCGCCAGGGCGACGAGTTAGTAAGGCCATTCGCTCGAGAGACAGGCAATTGAGCGGGTGGAAGTTCGTCTGGTGTGTTTGATGCTTTGTTGGGGTTGTTGTGTTTGCACGAGTGCTTGTCAGTTTTTTTGTTAGTTTCTTTGCTTGCTGGCTTGTTCGCTTGCTCGCTTGCTCGCTCGCTCGCTTGCTCGCTTGCTTGCTCGCTTGCTTGCTTGCTTGCGTGTGCCGTTTTGCCTGTCTGTTTGTCTGCCTGTCCTTCTGCCTGCATGCCTCTTTGCTTGTCTGTTTGTCTGCCTGTCCTTTTGCCTGCATGCCTCTCTTGTTTGTTTGTTTGTTTGTTTGTTTGTTTGTTTGTTTGTTGAACTATTGGTTGGTTGGTTGCTTGCTTGCTTGCTTGCTTGCTTGCTTGATTGATTGATTGATTGATTTGACTTGATTTGATTTGATTTGATTTGATTTGATTTGATTTGATTTGATTTGATTTGATTTGATTGGTTTGATTGATTGATTGATTGATTGGTTGGTTGGTTGATTGATTTGATTTGATTTGATTTAATTGACTGACTGACACTGACTGACTGACTGATTTGATTGATTGATTGATTGATTGATTGGATTGATTGATTGATTTGATTGATTGATTGATTTGATTTGATTGATTGATTGATTGATTGATTGATTGATTGATTGATTGATTGATTGATTGATTGATTGATTGAATTGAATTGAATTGAATTGAATTGAATTGAATTGAATTGATTTGATTTGATTTGAATTGATTGATTGATTGATTGATTGATTGATTGATTGATTGATTGATTGATTGATTGATTGATTGATTGATTGATTGATTGTCAAGTCTGGCCATGTTGGTTCGATTTGTTTCTTCTTCGGTTTTCCTGATTGCTCTTTTTGAATTGCTTGGTTTGTTTTTGTTGTTTGTGTGGTTGTTTGATTGGGTTGGTTGCTTGGTTGGTCGGTTGGTTGGTTGTCTGGTTGGTTGGCTGTTGGTTGGTTGTTCTGGTTGATGTGGTTGACTGGATGATTGACTGGTTGGCTGTCTGGTTTGGTTTTTGTTGGTTGGTCTGGTTGACTGGTTGGCCGGTTGGTTGGTTTACTGATTAATTGGTTAACTGCTTCTTTGAACTTGTTTGAGTTGATTTGATTTTATTTTGGTATTGATACAATTTGGTTTGAGTTGAATTATTGTTGTACTTGGTTTGAAAAGTCGGTTGGTTGGTTGTTTGGATTGGTTGGTCGGGAGTTCCGACGTTCGACCAGGGCTGTTCACTTGCAGTTAAATTCCCAAATTTGAATGCCTTGCTGTGTGTGGGTCCAGCTGTCCAAAGGGTTCTATGCAGACGCGCCCTTGAGACAAGGAATATGTGTAGAATAGGCAAGAGGGAATTGGATTTTCCTCGCACCATTTGAAGGTACCTTCAAACATGCACAGGCACACACACCCACACCCATCTTCCCCAGACTTGGCTCCCCTTCTTGTCTTTGTTTTTTGGGGTCCCTTGGCTTTCCACTTACCAGGCAACAAAAAGGGGGTATATATGTTTCGCCTGGGGCCCGATGTTTCCAGCGCCCGAGTCCCATGTGCCCAGGATCAACGGCGAGGAGATCACGGACCTCGCGGGCTGGAAGGCCCGATCCGGGCGCGCAAGTGGCCAGCCGGGCCTTGGCCAAACGTGGCCGGGACATGGGCCAAACGGTCCCCCAGCAATTGGTGCGCCAGGACACACCGAGTCGTTTTTGGGTCAGGGAAAGTTCTCTCCTAGAATAGAGAACAGAAGAAAAAAACAAAAAACGGTGCCAACTTATTCTAACCTCTCTGGAGGACCTAGTAGGCGAGGTGCGAAGCTGGCAAGTTGCCAGGTTGGAGCCTTGAGCTGAGAGAAGGTTGACTGGTTCTGCTCACGTCTGGTGTTTGCCTACGTGCAGCGCGTGACACGGGAAGCAGAAGCAGAGCTTGGCGAGTAAGCTGAGAAGTCATCGCACAGCTTGAATGGGTTGCAAGCTTCTAAATGGGTGGTTTCAATTTTAGTTTTAAGGCAACCGTTTACAGATCCTCCCTTTGGGATAGACACTTTTCAGGTTCCTGGGAGAGTTGCGGACTAAATCCGACGGTTGCCGGTGCGCCAGGTCACGCTCGACCGTCTTGTGGATGTCCCTCAAACTTGGTGGCCTGGCTTGGGTTCCAGTTAACTTACCCCAGAAGACAGATACATGGTATGGCCCGCCTTTGGTTCAGGCCGAGGGTTGCCATTGCAGATTCTTTGCAGCCCTTGGTCGGCAAAGGGAAACGCGACCCCGTTCCCTGGAAACAAACCGTCTGAAGTGTCGGAAGAGTTTTGGTTTCATTTCCTACTCTCGCGGAACCATGTTTGAAGATTTGCACGTGATGCCAATGGGAAAAACTGGATCTGCCGGTTTCTTGGTGCAGAGACCAAAGAAGCCGAACGCCGCCCTAGACACCGTTCGCTGGGTTTGGCGCCGCGCTGAAAAACCGCCGCCGCAAGCAGCCGACGATGCTGACGCCCCGACGCCCGGGAGGCGGCCACCAAGCACGCCATGCAGACGATCTGGGACTTCCGGCGCCCCAGCGAGGTGCCGGCGCTGGAGACGGCCCGGGGCCCCTGGCGGCTCCTTGCGCGCGAGCGATTTCGGCCCGCAGGCGAAGGGTACGCGTTTGGGGGGGTTCGCAGTGAAGGGTAGGCGTTTGGGGGCCGAGGGGGGCGTGCTTCAACATGGAAAGGCAGCGTTTGCAGTGTTTTTTTTCGACGGGTGTGTTTTTTGTCGGTTTCTTGAAGGACACAAACGGGACAATGGCGACTACAGGCTCTCCCTGTTTTGACACGTTTTGGCGGGAGATGGTCAGTGCGAGGGGGAAATGTTTAGGCGGTCAACGTGCTTCACGTTTGCACCGATATCGAGTTGAGACATAAATCGGTGTGTGTGTGTGTGTGTTTGTATTAATTTGGAGAAACATATATAAGAAAAACAAAACAAAATAAAAAAAAAAAAAAAAGACCAAAAAAAAAGAAAACAAAAAAGAAAAACAAAAAACACCAAGACAAAACAAAAAAAAAGACAATAGGAAAAAACAAAACAACCCCAAAATGGAGTTTGATTCACCCTCTACCTCCTTGGCCCGTCCTTCAAACCCAACCCCAAAGCAAACTCAAAAAAAAAAAGCCGACCGGGTATGTGTGAAGTTTCATTCATACTTTCTTTATCCGTCTCTCTTATACTTAATTCTTTTTTTTCACTCATAACCTTAACTAATGCATTATAATCTATTTATTTTCAGGGGGATTTTATACTACTGGACTTTTTTTGGTTTCCGTTTTTTGGTTTCCAGGCGACTCAAGCAAATGGAGGCAAACTTGTGTGTTGTTTTTGTTGAGCGGGCAGCAGGAATCCAAGTATGAGTAACTGTTCAACCCCTGCGATTTGAGCCAGCGTGGAGTGAAAGAAGGGTTGCGATGGGAGGGGGGAGGGAGAGGGGTTGGGATGGGAGGGTGGACAGGGGAGGGGGAGCAACCCGAAAGGGCGGGAGGGGTTGTCCGGACCCCAAAATGAATTGTTTCTCCGTGTGGTTTCTGACTAGGCAACAACTTTTAGTCAACCCAAAAGGTGATCACCTTTAGGTCCAATTACCTGTTCTTGCAGAGGGTAGATGGGGAATTACCCAACCTCCGCACCTCCGAACTCCAAACCACCTGGGTATGGGTCAAAAAAAAGCCACCAAGAAACTGGACCGCAGGTTTTGGTCCATGTGTCCACTTACCAGGGCAAGCCATTTTGGGGATTCCTATTTTTGACCAATGGCCATATGGGTGTGGGTCAAAAATAGGAATCCCCAAAATGGCTCGCCCTGGTAAGTGGTTCCATTTGGGGTACCTATTGACCCACAGCCTGAAGCTGAAGCTTCGCGAGGTCTACTTCGAGTTGTCCGTGGAGAAGGTCGGGGAAGGCGGCCTGCTGGGCCTGGCCCTGCAGAACGCCGACGCCCGGCGAAAGCAAAAAGCCATCGCTCCGCAGCCATCCGGTTCCTGAGCTTTTTGGGCCTTTTATGGCTGGGTGATAGGTTTTTTGGTTGCTAGTGTTTAGTGGTTGGATTTCCATTTAACCCACTGAAAGTGAAAGACTTTTAGCAGGGGATCTGAGGACAGGCCAGCAGAAAGAAAGCCGATGGAGTCGCGGAAGTTTTTGGTCCGCCGGACGGTTCTTACTTGAGCCGTGTGCTCAACACCGATTCGGGTAGATGCAGCTTGTTTAAGGGGACAATCCCAACCAAAAATAGGTGCGGATATCCGCCTTCTTGATTCTTTGCATGGTTCTGCGAGAGCCCCTAAAATTCCATTAAAATATTAACTATATTCATTAAATTAAATTCATAACATTAGTTATCTAATTACATACTATCTAACAACTTTACAATTTAAACTTCAATTTATTATTTATCTAAAATTTATTATACTCTATCTTTACTACATCAATTTTTTTTACATATACTCTTATTTATATATAATCTATAATGGTTCTGCGAGACCATTTTGATACCAGGGTTTGACTATGACTCACTTGGGGGTTTCTCAGTTCTTATTGTCCGTACCTGACTTTTATGTAAATTGCCCAGATGGAATCTCACAAGTTCGGGTTCAGCCTCAGAAAACCTCACTGCCAAGGAGTGACTCTCAGGAAAGCTCAGGCCCAAAAAGTCTAGAAACAAGTTTTTCTCGGAGGGGGCTCTTTTTGTGTTCCTTTGGGGCGAATAGTAAACAAGGGCCCTAAGTGGCTTTACATTGACTGGGACCCGAGTACCTTGGTCCGGCTTTACCTTTGATACTGGACTACTTAATATTTTGGGGTAGGCGAAGTATGACACGGAGACTGACCATTTAGTTTTGGGGACGGCGGATGTGGGCCAAGATGAGTCGAGAGTTTGAGGAACAACAAGAAGATATCAAATCGACTCGCGCACGTTGCAGAAAGCTGTCAAAACGAAACCAACAAAAATCAACCGGGATTCCGCTTTTGCGATTGGATTCTTGTTTTGGCACCCGAGCCGCCTTTTAATTAGGACTCAGCGCGGACTTGGATCGGATTTCTTTAATCCTGTTCTTTGGGGGAGAGGAGGGCGTGCCCTGCTATGCTAGTAACCAGGGTGCGTGTGCCGGATTTACAAATCTGAGGTTCCTATGTTGCGGTCAATTATAGAGTTTCTGCAAAGGAACACCATTTTGTTTTGGATGGAAACTGAGATACTTGAAATCCTGATGGCCCTTACAATCAACGGTGGGCCGGGTTACAATTCCCATGGATTCATTTGGGTGGTCGCGACCTTATTTGTTGGGGAACAGACTTGTCCCCAGACCTATCCCGGCATGTGGCTTGGACCACCGGTGTCAAAGTACTATGCTACATAGACTTTTTCCTTCATGAAAAAGCCATCTAGGTGTTGCCCAAAAAAACAAGGGCTCCTAAAAAAGGCGGATGTTCCTTTCGGTTTCCCCTTTCTTATGTATCCAAAAGTGGCTCCCCATGAAACAACCCTGCGAATGGCACTAGGACGACGACTACGCCCCCGGCGAGGACATGGGCACTTTCGCGCTGATGCACTCGGGGATTTGCCGTCACAATGGCAAGGATGACGGCAAGAGTGCCCTGGACATATCGGGGTCACGGATCTCGGGGTCTGAACTGTCTCCCCTTTGGGCTTTTCAGGGCCCCGAAAAGGACCGATTTGTTGGATACGTACACTGATACCACCAGTTACTAGTTGGCTGTGCTGAGGTAAAGTGTTCGAGACCCGTGGAGATTCCATGAAAAAGCTGTACTATGTACTCTCCGCCAGGCCATTGCCATGGAACCTCCCAGGACCCCTTTGGAAGACTCGGTTCCATGTTTACAGAGACCAGTTGGGGGAGCTCCAAGAGCCAAGCTCTGAAGAGAGATCTCGATGATGCAACACCTGCCTTGAGGCAAACCCACCCTTGAAGCCTAGGCGAAATGCAGCTTGCTTAAGCGGCACAAGCAGAACACCGGTCAAAGGCTCCAGTTGTTTGCGACCCTACAGATTTCGAGCGTAGACGGCAGGCCTTCGAACGCCTTTGACGAGGATTTCGGAGACCCAAAATCGACAGAGAGCCCCCACCATCTACATGCTTGACGTTTCGCGTGGGTGAGTTTTCCCCTGACGAGGGTGTTTTTAGTTGGTTGGGTTGGGTTAGGGTTCTGCAATGGATGCGGCGGTTGCTGTGGGGTACCTTTTTGTGGGTTTCCCCTATTTGGAGACACCCTGGATCCTCCAACTATTATACAAAAGGGATTTCACCCCATCATTTTGGGGCAATCAGCCCATTTTTATGAAAGCAGTTCGCGGGTCCAGGAAGCCAACCAACCAACCAAAACCAGCGAACCAAAACAGACCTCACAAGTCCCGAAAACCGCTGCAGGTGCCGCCTGGAAGGACGGCGTGGTGCTGTGCGTGGCCGTGGACTGCGACGCCGGCACCGTGCAGCCCCTTGGGATGGATGGTACCGGGCTGGGAGGAAGAACCGCCAGGTCCCCCAGTAGTGTTCCATCCTGGAGTCTCCACGACCCGTCAAACAGGGAAGAATGACCCCTGTGTTTTGGGGAATGACCTTGTTTGAGGGAGGGTTCCTTTACTAAAATAAACTATCTAACCTCTGTACTGGAAGACCTAGACCGGGTGCGCCAGGTGGGTCGGTCGGTTGTTTTTGGATCCCAAAATGATGGGTGTCCTTCGGTTTCCCTTTAAAGGAAGCCCAGAAGACAGAGGGGTGCCACCAAAAGAAGATAGAATCATGTGGGCGTGTCTCTTGAATCTACCCGTTTTAAGGGAATCTAATGGGGGCATCGCCTTTTTTTGGGGTTCGATGTTGGGACAACCAACAACAAGATTCTCAGCGCTTTTAAGCCGTTGTTGGTTTTCCTGTTTTGGTCCGCAAGTCAAGTTTCCAAAGGACCTTTTAAATCCAGGTCCTCTGGATGAATGAAGATTCGCAACAACAATCATGTGCCAATTTCCTTTGTGAGATTCCTTTTGCTGGCGTTTTGCGGGGTGTAACGAAAACAGCGGGAACCCATCTTCAAGGGCAAGGGCTCCCCGTCGGGGTCGGGGTGCCACGTGAGGATCGCCACGTTGGACAAGCCCGCCTTCGAGACGGTCTTGCAGCTCGCGGACGAGGAGAAGCCGGCGGAGGTGGGCCTGCCGCTGGTGGTGCCTCGGACTTCGTCCCGATGGATGGACTGCACTGGGGCGGTGGTCGATGAACGTGGGTGGCTGGCTGTGTTGGTGAAACTAGGGGGCCAGTAACAGGGATTCCGAGCGGTTTCCCTTTCAAGAGAACCTCCAAAAGCGGCAGTTTCATTGGACACCTCCGGTAAATTGTCCAACTGGTGAAGGGGACATCCAGTTAAACCTTGAACAAGTTGTAATTGCATAGTTATCGTATGGTCATGAGTGAATATAATGGCTTGAGAGTAAGCCACATTCTAAGTTCAAAGGCTGAATGCATATGTCCATATGAACCCCTGGTGTACGGGTTAAATAACCAACCATTAGTTGTGGCTTAATCCTTGAACATGAGCCCCCGAAGGGTCCAACAGGGCCACGGGTTCATATATGGACCTATACAAATTAGGCTTTGATCATGGTTTTGGCCCTCATATGCATTTTGGAATATGTTCATCAATATTGTAAGAACAGCGATCATGCATATGGTGTGAAGCTCTGCAGTTGAATTATTAGGTGCCATCAAACAATTTATGCTTACATGGATACATTCAACTTACACCCTCCCCACCGTTGTGCTTGGGGTCATGTGTGGACAACAAGTTGCAGGTTACAGCATGTTCCAGGCAATCCACTTGGCTTGTGGCCCGCATGTGAAGCACACCAAATAATGTGGATGGACGAAATCCTGCACCACTTGGAAACCATGGGAAACCATAATTCGTAGGTATGTGCAAGATAATCATCATTCCAGGGTTTGTTAGGTGGTGCGGATTTTGTCCATCCACAGTATGAACTGGAGAGCAGTCTGTGTTTGAGTTGCAAGGTTGGCTGGCGTTCAAGGTCACAGAACGCTGTCTCGGTTTCGGTACGGGCATGTTTGTTTTGACTATACCTTTCTTGGGGTTGTTTCGAAAGGGAACCAAGCATTCTGGATGTTTGCCTAGACTCTTAGACTGGTTCTGCTCGCATTGACCTGGTTGAGCCCCAGGACTTTTCCCTGGAATTAGGCAAAACCCGGGGGCTTCCCACTGTAGAAGGACATGCGGTGCATCTTGAAAAAGGCGAAAGTACATCCTTGGACTTGGCATTTAAGTCGGGGTTTTGGAGACTTAACCCCCTGAAATGGTGGGGAAGCGGAAAACGCCCGAACCATCCCCAAGAGTTGTTTGAAGCCATGGCATCTGAGGCACTTCTGTCGCCGGGGGACAAGGGGGCGATGACTGTGAACGTGGGGCAGCAGCCCTTCAAGCTCCAACCCCCGGCACCTTGGCCGAGCGGTCAACTGGTTTTTCTTACTGCTTCTCGGTAACCTCCATTCGGTTAAGAATATGTTTTATTTTCCCGTGTTGGTTTTAAAGGGAATCTATCACCACTGGATGTGTTTTCCAGGGGACAAAAGCAAATGGAGGAGTAGGTCAATGAGTTGGAATGACCCCCAAGAAAACCATCCGTCCGATTTGGTTTCCTTAAAGCGAATCCCCTTCCGGCTCATTTCCAACGCCCTGAACGGATTCCCTATGGAGCAACAGCAAGCTTGTGACACGGACACCCCAAGCATGCAGGATCCCTCTTGGAGCAACGTCCCAGAAAGCCCGAACGAAGACTATTTGAGGCAAAGGAGTACAAGCCGATCGCGGAGTTGATGGAGCTGCGCAAGCAGTGGCGCGTGCCTTCGCATGAAAATGGCGTCGTTTCAAGGAAACCCTTTCTGGGGCTGCTTTAAAGGGAAACCAAATGAAAACCCAAATTTTTGGGGATCCCCAATTTTAGCCCACTGATATGAGCGTGGGTTTGTTTGAGGGTACTTTTAAAGATTGGTTTAGTGGCAGCCAGCAGGTATCCCGTTGTTTTGACACCCACACAGACATGGTTTTGTGGCCCTCAAACTGCGGCTCCGGAACCACAAGACTCATTGCAGTTGTTTTGACACAGCCCAAGGCGTGTCCCCACTTAACCCACAGTATGGACGTCTCTCGAGGCCTCAAGGTGAAAAGTGGGCTGGTTCCCGAGTTCTGCAAGGTGGGCCCTTTGAACAAAAAGCAAGTTGCCGACTGGTCTACACGCGCCATTCCCGAAGGAACACAACCAGTCGAGGCAAACTTGCATCAATTTCGGCAGGCCTTGTGTCAATTTCGGCCGCCCCAAAGGTATAAGTGGTTTGTGCAAACTGCCAGACAGAATTACTGCTAGGTCCTAGACTTGAGTTTCCTATATCCACCTGCGCGCTAGGCATTGCCCCTCGTTGGTTTGTCGATCGAGGACAAGGCGGCTACCGTTCTGGTGTATGTGTAATCTTATCCATGGCGGCCAACAACGTGATGGCATACTGCGGATGGACGAAATCCTGCACCATGGTTTCTTGTGGTTTCTTGGGTGGTGCAGGATTTCGTTCATCCACAATTGCCCTTGTGGCGTGGCGCACCACGACAAAAGAGGTTCAAAAGGTACATTGGATTCGGATACCGAGGCACAGTTTTTGCTTCTCCAAACCGTCCCTCAGAACCATGAAGCAAGAACACATGTTTGATATTAGGCTGAATTGCTAGCAACCGTACTCCGGATCCCAACGTGCTTTACGATCCAAATTATGTTTGACCGAAGTTGTTTCACGATGTTGCGGATCAAACGAACGACTTAGCCAAACGCTTGGACGAGTTTGACAATTGTTAGCTTGAAAGACTGTTGCTAAGTATGCTGCAGTCATGCTCCTTTAGGGGTTGGTAGGGCTGGTCATGTTAAGGGAACCAACAGAGTAAGAAGGGTCACTGCTTTGAAGCGAACTGAGCAAGCTTGGTGACTGAGGTGACGTTGCCTGACAATGTGGAGACGTGGCCAGTCTACGCCACTTGGCAGTCGCCTAGGGATCTGGGTGAATCCTTCGACCCTTCCTGGGGTTGTTAAAAGGTGCCTCCCTTGAGAAAGCACAAACCCGCAGATGCATGACTTAGAAATTGGGGTAGAAGAACGGTATCCGCAGAGTCCATCCTGCGTGGGCCAGGTAGCTGGATACCAAATGATACCAATCTCCATCATATTTTTAAGCAGATCATTATTCCCCACGTGTTCTGTTGCGTCTCCTTGTTCCACCTCGGCACTATGCGAGGGCTGAATCATCTTGCTGGTTCTTTAGGGAATGAGAGAATGAACCTGGGGATTCCCTTAAAGGCAACCACCAGTTGGATGGGTTTTCTTGGGGTCATTCTCATTCCCTGACCAGCAAGCCATGAGCACGGAAGAGGTCCCTTTGACTCCAAGACGGAACCGAACCCCCCAGTCAGGTTCCATTGGATGTCCCGAACCCCGTGGAGGGGGATTCGTGGGGATTCCTGGGTTGATGAACGAAGGGTTGATGATTCGTTGCCCCTCTTTTACCATTGATCGGGTCCCTTATCTGTTGATTAACGGGGCCCCCTTACTAGAGAGGTTGATTAGGTCTTTCAATTCAGGTTGAGAGAGGGTTTGGAGTAGGGGCGTAGACTCTGCTTAAGGTTGGCTCTGGGGGTGCCTGGCAGGGCCATGGGTGGGAAATATTGCTGGAACGTAGAGGAACGCCATTTTGGGGATCCTCCTATTTTGACGCACGCATTTCTATTTTGAGTATGAACCCCTATATGGTGAATTACTTAATTATTCGTTGGTTATGGCTTATTTACGGGAAACCAGCCCCCTTTTACGGTCCAACATGGCAACATGGGTTCATACATGGGTCTAACCTGGACCCATACAATCAGCCTTTGAAGGTAACCCCTGAGTGGTGGTTTGAGTTCAGATTGGAATTCAAGAAAAACCAAAGGAAATGCAATTCAGTTTCAGGCAACCCTTAGTTAAGATTTGGATTCTTCCATTTGCTTCAGACTATGTTTGTTTGTTTTCCCACATTGGATTGAAATGCAAACGATTTCACTACTCGAAACGTTTTCGCATTTTGTCCAGTCGAAAAAGTAAGTGGACGGATTGGATGTTGGAGGGTTTCACCTCCCTCCGCGTCCCCTCCCCCGCGCTTTCCAGCGCCCCCTGTCAGCGCCCGCCTGAGGTGAAGCCGTCGCGGCAGGCGGAGGGCGCGGAGTCCCTGCAGGCGCAGTGGGGCTTCGAGGAGCTGGCGCTGGCGGAGGAGCGCCTCTGACGGAGGTCGAAGGTAGACGCGAGCGATGGAGCGGTTCGGGCGATCGGTCAGTGCATGGCTCATGAGCCCAATGCTAGATCCCCCAGGATCGTGCCCTTTTACCGTTTCTTTTTTTTGGGGAGTGTTCCCCGACGAAAATAGACTACAGAAAAAAGTTGGTACCCTTATTCTACCTTCTCTACTGGAGGACCTAGAATGCGCGCCTTTCTTCGGGAATTCCCCTTTCCGGTCGAGGAGAAGGGGAATGTTAAAGGGGAATGGCCCCTCCAAGATGAAACTGATCTTCCAGGCACCCTCCCACTGGTTCTCAGTAGGGAATGAGAAATGCAAGGACCCCGCGATAATCCATCCATTTGATTTGGTTTCCTTCACTTGGAAATCATCTTCCGGTTCATTCCCAAAACCCGGACTCGGTCATTCCCTACTGAGCACCAGCAAGAAAGGAAACTACTCACTTCCTGTTTTATTTTTTTTATTAGTGAACTTCAGTCAAATTTTGGGTTTGGGCCATTTTAGTGGCAAGCATCAAGTTTGAGTACTTCTTTTGGCTCAGGAAGTGATACTACAGGACGCAAAAGGAAACTAAAGGAAGCAAAAGGATCATAAAGGAAGCTAAAGGAAGATAACTGATGCAAAAGGAGCAGCAGAAACCCCCCTTGCCCCGCCTTAGCACGAGTCTACAACATTTGGTCCAGTGATCCTTCCCCCTTTCGATGGATTCAACGAGGAAGCCAAGAGGAATCCAACCATTTTGGCGGTCCCCTATTTTGGGGACAGGCACGTTTGGTCCTGGGGCGTTTGACGTTTCGGTGTGTTCCGGGCGTTTCCGTGGATGCTTTGCCAACATACTTGAAAGCTGCAAAAAGATCCGGGAAACAATCGTTCTCACTGGTTTGTTGCTCTTTGGGGGCAGTCCCTTTGCAACTCCAGCCACCCCCTGTTCGCTGGGGGGGATAAACCAGGGCAATGCCTGGTACCCTTCCAAAAAAATTCGCGCGCGTGGGCCCATTTTCCAGAAAGCGCTCCCAGGCGACTCCCAAACACCGAGGAACGGGGTGAAGTGGGTCCGCCACAACGGCGGCTGGTCCCCGGTCTCTCTGGAAGCGCTGGGACGTCTTTGCACAGGCCCCGCTTCTGGGCCTGCGGATTTTTTTTGGGCCTCCGGGCGCCAAAATCCGAGGGGGAAAAAACAAGGTGCGACTGCTAGTGCAAAGAATTTATCTGTGCACCAGAACACACTCCAACAACTCAGGGAAGCTGACAGGAGGGTTTTGGAAGACGATTTTTCGTTGTGAAGAACCCTCTGTCCACTGCCATGATTGGAAAGAGGGTAGTCACAAATGGGATAAAAATAGAAACTAGCTTGTCACAGTGGTATGTGTGAACGAACTCCATTTCGCACCACTTGGGATGGATAAAACCTACAGGATACACCGTCAATCACAACTGGTGCGATTCGATTTTGTCCATCCACTCACCAAAGACAAGTATCGCAGCCCAAAGCCTCCCACAAGGGATAAGGCTGGCGTTTTTCCTTTGGAGTTAGAACCCCCAATTTGTTTGGTGGTGAACCAAATGCAAAACCAACCTCTTTCATTTGTGGGGGGGGGGCCTACAAAAAAATCGTGCCACTTGTTGTTATTGATAAGACATGGGAAACCATGTCGGTCCCATGCAGCCCTCGACCTATCAACCTCCTTACTAAGGGCCTTCCCTGTCTTCTGGAAGCAGCTCAAGTACATTGCGAGACCACGTGGACCCCTCTTTTGCTGTTTAGTGCATGCTCGAACATATTAGTGGCTTCTCCAAGTACAGTCGGGTGAAAGCAGATGTCACAGTTCCTCATTTCAGTCGGATTCTCTCTTTTTTGCCCACACAAAGGAATTTGCCAGCTATTTCACCCAAAAGTCCCCCCCCCAAACAGGGCTCTTTAAAGGATCACCGAAAAACCTTCACATGTAGAATTCCTTTGCAACAGCTGCTAAAGTTGGGCGGCCAAAATGTACCCCACAGCAGGGCTCACTGGATTTCCCCTTCAACAGTTTCAATTTACAGGTGGTTTCTTTTTGCCTCGGGGCGTTTTTTTTGTGCGGAAGGACCCCTGCCAAGCCGCGTTTTTGTCGTGTTTTGGGGGTTGTTTTTTTTGCTCACTTGCCCAAAGCCGACCTTTTCACCTTTTTGGTTTCCCTGATTTGGTCCATGTTTGGTCAAGGTTCCAAAAGGTGAACCTTTTTTGTTTCCACTAGGTCCCCCAGTAGTGCCCTTTGACCCTTTTTCGGGTCCCCTACCAAAAAAAAGACTACAGAAAAAAGTTGGTAGCCTTGTTCTAACTTCTGGAGGACCTAGTCCAGGTGCTCTGGGCAAGCGAGTTTCCCCAAACATCGCGCTGGGCAGCTGGACAGGCCTCACGCCGCTGCCATCCACCATCGACGCCCTGGAGAAGCGTGGAGATGCCAACGGTGCCGCGGCATGCAGAAGGCGATGTCAGGCATGGGATTCCCAGAAAAGGATCCCGTTTTCTAATGGGTGTGCTCTGTCAAAAATAGGGTAACCCCGAAATGGGTTTGCCCGAACTGGCAAGGCCCAGCCTGCGGTCCCTGTCCTGGTGCTTTGATTTTGAACCCAAATGGTAACCTGAGATTTCCTGTAAGATCAGTGAGTTACTCAAATGGGAACGTGTTTGTTGTCCCTGCATGGGGAAGATCCTGCACCAGTTGGTAGGGTGGTCTACCGCAGTTGTTTTATGTGTTTCGTCATACCAATTGGTGCAGAATGTCGTACAGCCGGACTCGACACAAGTATCTTGCTTGATTTCCAACGGGTTCGTGAAAAAAGGAAGCCCAGAAGGTTGAAGAAACTCTCCCTACATGATCCATGTATTGGGACACTATCACCAGTCGAGCACAGGATATGAGCTTTTTTCAAAATGTCCAGTCTATGGTCCATTTGGGGTTCAGGACGTGGGTCACTCAATTTCCCAAACCCAGGGGAGCCCTAGTTTTCCCACGACCCTTGAGAACAAGTGCTCTTGACCACTCATATGGCAGTATGGCAATGAATGTCAATAGGAACCATTCGAGAAAATGGTTGGTGGGCATGAATCTTCATTTACTTCCGCCCACGGGTCCCTAGTTGAAACTCACACCCACAGCAGGTTTCTCAAAACAGGGCCCCGAAAACAGTTTTGTTTCATTGATACATGCAGCCTTGGAGCTGCTTCCTTTTTGATGCATGGGGTTGGAGAGGACCAGCCGTTGAGTATTCTAAAGGTTGATTCCTTTTTTCACCCATGGTTCTTTTCAGACAACACAAATTCCATTTTGTATTGGACAACTTGTCTGGCAGCAAGGTTCTTTGAAAAGAATGGGGAATACACTTGAATTATGATTCCAGTCGCTGTCGAAGGAAGGCGTACCACGGTTTCGGCTCCTTGGAGCTATGGAGCCATTAGGTACTCCCTGCTGACTGGGGTACAGGACTGCACTTTTTGATCAATTGTTAGACATGCGGAGAGTTCCTAAAGTTGATGTTGGCCAATGGTTTGGCTTGTGGCCAATGATTGCACCAGGGTTGAGTAATTCCCCTGTGGGCCAATCCTCAAGCCGAAGGAAAAAAAATCAAGGCACGAAATCCAAGCCTAAGACCCGCCAGTTTTCGATTGTCTTGAGTCTCCCAGTCCCAGGTTGCGTTTGGTGACTTGCTGCAAAGGCGCCGGAGTCCAAGTAATGCGCGGTGATGGTGCATCCCCAAACCACCGGCCTAGCGGCCCCAAAGCTTCGGCTTTTGGAGCACAAGGCTCCGAGCGAAAGAAAGGCATCCGACGAGTAGCTTTGGCCAACTTGCGTCCAAGCCAAAGCGAACAAAGCGTGCGGCCCCCGATTTTTTCTTCTCTCCTCACTGGCCACGGCTCGTGTGCCTGGCAGCCGACAGTTCCCAGGTTTCAAGTTCTTCCGCCTGGTGGTGACCAAAGTCCGCGGCGGCGACACGGTGAACGGCGTGGCACTGGGGCAGCTGCTGCTCCGCAAGGAGCGGATCGATCCGGCGGATCAAACAGCGGCGAGCAGGGGAGTCACGCCCATGTGTGTGTGTGGCTCAAAATTAAACACGGGGGGTTACGCGGGTTTTAGTCTTTGGTTCCATTCACCAGGGTTCCATTTTGGTACCGGTTTTTTGAGCCACAGCCATGTGTGTGTGTGCGTGGTGTTCTCAAGGGTTACTGTTGGCAAGGCTGGAGGGAATCCAAGCATTTTCGGGGGGTTCCCCCTCAAAGAAAACTTAGATTTGACTTTGACCCCCCCAAGTCTCACCCTCAGAGTTTTCTTGTTGTGACCACCTCTTTCTGCCAAGTCCGACTCTTCCATTTCGCCATGCGTGCTTTTTTGACAGATCCGTTTTAAGGTTTGGTTTGAAGCGAAAGCAGCAGGACCCCCCCATTCTTGGGGTACCCCTATTTGGGTGGGTCTTTGTTTAGGCCCCCCCGCACAAATGGATTTTGGTTTTCCCTTTAGTTGTCCCTTCAAAACCAACCGAAACAGGGTGGTACCCTTCAAAAAAAGACGCTAGGCGCCCATTTCGAGTCACAGACCCATCTGGGGCTCGGTGTATTTTTTTGAGGCTCGGTGCCCTCGGAGTTGGACAAAGAGGCAAACCAAAAACTGAACCACCGGTTTGCCCCGTCAGACAACCTCTTTGGAGACCAATTTTGTTAGACACGAAGGGAAACCAAGCCATTCCGGAGCTTCTCAAAATATTTTGTCTCCTCCCCAAAAACATGTGGATTTCTGAGTTTCCTTCTGTTCTTTTTTCTCTTGAAACACCAACCCAAAGACGGGCTCCTCCTCACCGCCCTGCCGCCTTTGGAGCCGTCCTCGCCTTCCGCGTCCGCTTAGACGCACGTCTCGTCCGCGTCGTCCGCGCCTCGTCCGCGCCGGTCTCGTCGGCAAGGAGGGCGTGGAGCTGGACCTCGCAGAGGCCACGGCGGAGAACCCGGACGGCCAATGCGCGGACGGGGAGGGCCCGCAGAACGCCATCGACGGCAGGACCTCCACCAGGCGGGGCGGAAGCGGAACCGCGGAGAAAAAGACGCGGAGCCGGGGCGAGGCATTGGTATTGCTTTGGGGTTGGGTTCGGTTTAGGTTTGGGTTTAGGTTGGGTTTGGGTTTGTGTTTTGGTTTGGGTTGTTTTGGGGTTAGGTTGGTTTTTGGTTAGGTTGGGGTTTGTTTTGCTTTAGGTTTGGTATGGGGTTTTGTTTGGGGGCTGGTCTTGGTTGGTTGCCTAAAGCGGAAGATGGGTTGGAGATTGGGCTGAAAGTCACGGCACCTGCCTGAGAGGAAAGCTACTGTCAGGGATATGGATAGATGTTGGGCGCGATTTCGGGATGAATCGTTTGGAGAATCCTGCAAGTCGTTTGGGAAGTGGGGAAATCCTTTTTTGCCCGTAAGTTTTCTTGAGTTGGGGTGAACAAATGTGAGTTTCGTGTTGAAGGGGTCTGAGAAACAAGTAGGGGAACCCCCCCACCCCAGAAAAAAGAAAGAAAGAAAGAAAAAGAAAGAAACAAGAAAGAAGGAACCAAAACAAGTTGGTTTCCCAGATTTCCACCCGAAGACCAGAGTCCGTTTGAGGACATTACCGGACCGGGGCGATGTCATCGCATCGATGGCGTTCGGTTCAGGTGGCACACCTCAGTGCTGAGCCCCCTGGTGATCAAGCTCCCGAAGCCGGCGCCCTGTCCGAAAGACGGGGGTAGCTGAGCCTCCAACAATGGGAGCTGACCCTCTCCTTAAAGTTGTATAACAGAGTGGGGGGGGGATACTTCATGGAGGATTTCACAAAAACATGGTTTTCCTTGGGTCTGTGAGGCCTGTTCCCATCGCTTTGATGGCAGAGCACTGACAGGAGGGTTCTGGAAGACATTTGTTCCTTTTGGGACCCCCCCCCTCCTGTCCACTTGAGTCCTCCGAACACTGGTGCGTGCATTTGGTTGGGTTTCGAGGGTACCCTTTTGGCAGGCTAAAGGAAAACCAACAGGAAGTCCACCAGTTTGGTCCACTCATTTGGGGCCCAGCTTGAAGCCGCGGCCTCGTCTCAACGGGAAGCCAAAGTCGGACAAGCACCTGGTTGATCATGGATTCGTTTTTGATCTCCAAGAGGGGCGGCCTGGTTTCCCATGAGAAGACACTGAGAGAAGTTCTGCGGTGGCACCGACGACCAAGCTGCACCGCCCTCTATAACAGCCGGGCTGAACATTCGCCGACTTTTGCCTTCTGAGACACCCGTCATTTTGTGCAAACTGTGAAATGTGTTGCAGTGTTGATTGTGCACGTGCAGCGCCTAGCTGCCAACCATTCACGCGCGACTTTTTTCGGGTTTGTGCGGGGCACAAACAAAATTGTCCGCAGCCCATGTCCAACAGAGCTGTTCAGACACCCCTGCCTCAGGAGCGTTGGCGTGGTTCCGATTCAGTCAGCAAATGCTACTGTTCTCATGTCGGATTCGCCAAGATTCGAAGATCATCCCTCCCCTTTCTGATTCCAGAATGTGCTTCCTTTCAAGGGTCAAACCAATCATGGCAGTTTCAAAGACACCCACTCCGGGCCTTCTTTTTGGTCTCCCCGTTCTTCCGTGGAAAACCCCGTTTTGGGCCACCGCGAGAACTCACCCCGCCGAAGCCGAGTGAAGCCGAGGCGCTGATCGACAGCTTCAGCTTCCGCACAGCGCCCTCGGAGGAGCAGCTGGACCCCGTGGAGTGGCGACTGGAGGCCTCCAACGACCAATCCACCTGGAAGGCGCGGATCGACTGCCGCCTGCCAAGCTGCCGAGTCCCCATGAGCCGAGTCCCCGCGAGCCGAGCGATGTTCCGAGTGACGAAACAGAGAGAGAGAGAGAGAGAGACAGAGAGAGACAGAGAGAGACAGAGAGAGACAGAGAGAGAAAGAGAGGGGTGAGTTTGGTAAGATGCGGAAAAAGGTGGTTTGGGGGGAGGGGTCTGGCATTTGTTTTATCACGGTTTTAGTTGGCTGCTTTGTTCTGCTTTTGGTGTTGTCTTGCTTGCTTGCTTGCTTGCTTGCTTGCTTGCTTGCTTGCTTGCTTGCTTGCTTGCTTGCTTGCTTGCTTGCTTGTCTGTCTGTCTGTCTGTCTGTCTGTCTGTCTGTCTGTCTGTCTGTCTGTCTGTCTGTCTGTCTGTCTGTCTCTCTGTCTCTCTGTCTCTCTGTCTCTCTGTCTCTGTGTCTCTCGGTCTCTCTGTCTCTGTCCCTCTGTCCCTCTGTCCCTCTGTCTCTCTGTCCCTCTGTCCCTCTGTCTCTGAGGCCCTCTGTCCCTCTGTCTCTATGTCTCTCCGTTTGGCTGTTTGTCTTGTTTGTTCGTTTGTTGGCTGGTTGGTTGTTTGGTTGGTCGGTCGATTGGTCGTGTTGGTTTGCATTGTTTGTTTTGCTTGGTTGTTTGTTTGTTTGTTTGCACCAGGGGTCGGATGCCTGGGAAGGTAGCTGTGGTGTGGCAGGAACCAGAAGTTTCCCAGGTTTTCGTAAGAGGGTGATCTTAACCCCGCACGTGACTTGCGGGGCGATGTGCGGACATCGGCAAAGGACATCCCGGAATCTGTTGGCTGCCTCTTTCAGCGATCCCGCATGAATTAGTTTGGAATGTTGACGTTGTACTTTTCAAAGGGCAATTTCATGTGTTTGGTGGTGGTTGGGCCCCTTTTCTTGCGGTGTGTGTGTGTGTGGATTCTTGTTCAACAGTGTCGAGGTGGTTCCAACTCTGAGAATTCCTAGGACTCAGCTTCCAAATGATTTTGTTTTGAATGTAGGAGCGTTTTCCTCTTAAATTAAAAAAAAAAAAAAAAAAAAAAAAAAAACAGGGGACTTCTAAAAGACAAAAACGATTCCCCAAAAAAAACACCAAGAGAAAAAGCCGGGAGAAAAACAAAAAACAGATGCCCCAGCGCCATGTGGGGTCCGTTTGGAGCGTCTGGATTCCGCAGCCTGCCTTCAGGTGCTTCATGGCCAGGAGACCAGCTACCACCCCCCCAAGCGGCGCTGCGGTCAGGCTTCCTGGTTCGTGCCCCGGCGGATACAGATTCGGCTCAAAATCGGCTCGCCGCGTTTTTTTGAGGTTTCGGCCCTGTTTTGGCGCTCTTCAACTGAAACCAACGCACAACCGTTTGGCCAATAGAGGAAATCCTGCAGAGACAACTTACGGGTTCACCAAGATTCGGCGTCCATTTCGGCACATGGGGGAGCTCCCCAGATCCAAGGTCTCGGCTCTTTTCGGGACCCGAGCAAAGCGACAAGTTGTGTTCCTTTTCTCGAGGTGCTTTCTTTCCCAGGTGGCTTCAAAGGGAGCTTATGATGATTTTTTGTCGCCTTGTGGGTTTGTACCGGCACCTGCATCAACTGAAGACTATCGTAGTGGAGTGTCTTTGCCTATAGGGGATTCGGATCGGTTCGGGGGGGTGCAACGTGTGAAAATGGACAAAGCGGCCCTCACGCCAGTAGTCACGCTCATGTTTGTTTATGGAAGAGTAGATCTTTGATTTGGCATCTTGCCACCCAATCAATCCCCCCACAAACGAACCTAGTTAGTGTCGAGAGGTTTTGGCCTTTAGGATCCCAAGCAACATTTCATGATGGCTCGTTTGTGTGACGCTCCGATTGATGTTTGTTGGCGTGATTTGTGCATACACTTATTTGCATGGCTGTCGCTCAGCTGAACCTTCTTGGTTGCCATTCGGGTCTGCTTCTTGAAAAGGGTACCCTTTTTGGGGTTGGTTGAAAGGTAAACCAAGGACAAGCATGGTTTTGGGATTGCCTAAAACAATACACCCACTTAGCATACTATATCACATGGGCAGAGGAGATGGGGAGAACCAGATGTTGCAATGTCATACTTGGTTGGGGAACAATCCATTTTGTTTGTGCACATGTTGGCAAGTCTTTTTCATCGATCCACATTTGGTGGTGGATTTTTGTCCATAAACCTTTGCATGCTCATATCTCAACGTGGGTGGCAGTGAGTATAGGCAATGTGTTAGCTCTTCTGTGTTGTTCACTCCTGTCTCGGCTTTGTCTTCTTCATCCATGCTTGGTGTGTTCTCTTGCGTTCGCGGGATTGTCATGGTGGGTACATTCTGCAGGAGCGCGGACAAACCAACTCCCACTTTGGGTTCGGAGCCGTGAGCCTTCGATTTCCTGTTCGCCGGGTCGGCCGGACCAGAAACTGGTAGCCGCGCCTTCGGATCCCGGATCTCCGGCTCGAGCCGGCGAGCCGATCCGACGCTGAGGAGACTTCGAACCGGAACACGGGCACGGGGAAGAGCAAGCTGGTGCCGTGGACCTCCGGCGCCAAGGTGCGGTCGATCCTTTTCGGCTCGGTCAATCGAAGGTCAGTCGGAGGACGTGGGGTTTGGTCAGAATGGGGGAGCCGTTTTCGGGGCACCTCTCACAAATGCTCGGTGTCCTTTTCTTTCCTTTTATACAACACCCCCAAAAAATGGTGCCATCAGAAAGGACAAACCCAAATTGAACAGCAGTCTGTGCTTCATTTGGGAGGGGCATAGGGGGACGCCTGCTGGCATGAGACTTGGGACTCCGGGAATCAAGCAGGCACCGTTCAGGAGAATAAGCAAATTGGCATCCAAGGAAATCAAAGGCAAACGAAGGAGCATGGGTCTCCTTGTTGGTTTAGTCTAGCTGACATAGATACATGGAATCAAACAGGTACATGAGTTTGAATCAGTTTGGTTCAACTCCATTCAACAAAATACCTGGGCTTGCTTGCGGAAGTCAGGCCCTTGCACTGGAAAGGTCTGGCCATCATAGAGTTCACACTTCTTTCACCTGGCAACGTCTATTGTTTTGTTTTCTGGAGGTGGTGGTTGGGGATGATCTACCCCAACCTTTGAATTCAGAGTCGGTCGCCACCTGCTTTTCATTGTTTTCACTTTTCCAGGTGAATCAAGCTGATGATTTCCTTGTGGTTTTCCATTTTTCACTTTGTGGCAACTGTATTTGGCAACCCCCAAGGTTCGCGGCTGCATTTACAGGGCTTTTAGACTCGAGCGTTCGTAATGACCAGCCATTTCTAGGGGACATTCCCAAGTGCACAAGTGAGTGACTGCCTGCGGGTGGTGCTCAATGCTTGCCATACACCATTTGCCGTGGATTGTAGTAGGTATCGCACGTAAACCGACTGGATGCAACAATTAAGTGAAGATCAGTTCTTGATGCATCAATTGGGTTTCAGGATGTTTCAGGCCACTGCAAGGATGCGTAGAAAGGGACTATTGCAATTTCCTTGCACGGGCATTGTTGACAATGGCAGACACAAAGCCATTGCAGGGCGATTTATTGCAACATCACTTTGAAGGAAGATTCACGTACCGGGTGCGTGTTAAGTTCGGGTCAATCCCATGAATGTTTGTGTTGGAGAGATCCTTTGCGAGATTTGCACTCGGCCTTGCAAGCTTAGTTGTATCTCAAACGGCAAGGAGTACTTCAGCATACCTGGTATATAACCATTTCGAGGGTCTCCATCCCAACAGAATAAGTTCCCTTTCGCAGAGATGCCGCAGAGAAAACCGAGTCTCTATGGGTTGATTCCCCATTCCTTTCAACCATCGCTCTTTTCAACCAACCCTACTTTTTTTTCTCTTTTTTCTGGGGGTTTCTGGCGGTTCTTTAGATAGAAGGATCCCTGGAAAGAATGGGGAAGGTACCATATATTTGTTTCTTAATTTTTGAGGGGGGAGACCCGCAAAATAGAATTGGCAAGTGAAAAGTTAGGGGAAACTCCCCTAGAAAGCCTCGATGTCATTTTTTCGGAGGCTTCGAGTTGCTCTGAGCCGCCCAAGAAAGGCCGAGCCAAAGATTATTCAGATCGAGACTTCCGGTGCAAAGCGGCGGTCCTTTTGGGTCACTCTCTGAAGGCAAAGCAAAAACCGCTTTTAGCAGTGGTTTTCATTTGTTTGTGCAAAACGGGTTGGAATGCCAACCCAAACCATGTTGAAGTGCTCGGACTGAGAATCAACTTGTCTCTATTGATCTTTCAGGATTTTAATACCTGCCACATATTGTGATCTGATTTGGGAAAACACGCGATGCGGTGTTTTTTTTTTTTTTTTGTCAAATCAAACTAAAGGACACCCGCTTTTTTTGGGTGGCCCGTTTCCTAAAAAGCCACGCGCCCACGGCGCCTTCCATTCGCCAGGTGCAGGCTGGGGCCTGGCACGCGCTCACGCTGAGTGTGGATTTGCCCAACTCCAAAGTCACTGCGCCTCGGACGAACGCCGCGAGACGCGAGACGCGAGCGAGGGGGGAGAGAACGTAGACCTTGCGAAGCGAATTGGTCTGTCAGGGGCTAGCACTTTTCAAACACCCTGGGCGTGTGGTGTGGCAGCATCCAGCTGCCGCAAGCCGGCAGTGGCTAAGCCCCAGTCTCAGGTCTTGGCCTGGGAATAGAGCCTCCAAGCCAAAAAAAAGGGGTGCAGTACCCAAATGGTGGCTCTGGTGGGCATCTCTTGGGAAAATTCGGTGTCTTCTCCCAAGAAATCTGAACAACGGCGGTTATAAAGGTCGATTAGGGGCGGATAAGAATCCCTTTGGCGGCCTTTTCTCGGGGCTCCCCTCGTTGGGGGCCCTGACAACTATGGGAAACCACCCTGTAGGGAACTACTCCTTTTGAGAAAACATAGTAACATTCAGAACCACCGTTCTGCAACCCTGGTTTCCGATTCGATTCCCCTGTAAATACCAACAACGCTTTGGGTTTCATTCCAATGGTTTCATTTCGTGGTGCGGAAACATAGGGACCCCTACCACAAACTCACTCGCCCAAAGCTGCCCTTTTAACCTTTTGGCTTCCCTCATTGGGTTCTGTTTTATAGCCATGGCCCCAAAAGGTGATCGCCTCTTGTTTCTGGGTCCTTTGGGCTGAGGGAAATCGACCAGCCCCATGCCATTGGCCAGGTGTGGCTGGACGGGGAGGTGGCGCTGGAGATCTGCGACCCCAGCAGCCCGCTGCTGCGCTGCGACGGGCCGCTGAGTTTGGACCCGGCAGAGGGGCTGTGCCTTTTCGGGCGCAAGCCCTTCCTGAAGAAGGAGCGCGCTGGGGGTGGGTGGGGTTGGGGTTGGGGTTGGGGTTGGGGTTGGGGTTGGGGTTGGGGGTGGGTGGGGTTGGGGTTGGGTGGGGTTGGGGTTGGGGTTGGGGTTGGGGCGGGGTTTGGGGTTTGGGTGGGGGTTGGGGTTTGGGTGGGGTTTGGGTGGGGTTGGGGTTTGGTGGGGTGGGGTTGGGTTGGGGCCTGGGGTGGGGTTGGGGTGTTGGGTTGGGTGGGGTGGGGTGGCGGCTGCTGCGCTGAAGAAGCGGTGGGTGGGCGGGCGGGCGGGCGGGCGGGCGGGCGGCTGGGCGGGCGGGCGGGCGGGCGGGTGGGTGGTGGGTGGATGGGTGGATGGGTGGTGGGTGGGTGGTCAAGATACGCTTGTTGGCTCCTAAGAGATACTTGAACTCGTGTGCGTGTGTTGTTGTGTTTTGCATGTTGCAGCAGGGATCAGTTTCAACAGACCAAAGCCCACCTTTCAGCCATGGTTTTAACAGTTTGGCCTTTGATTTCAGATTGGTCTTCTGGGCAAATAAGTAGCACAGAGAAGGAGCCTCGCTATTGGAGCATTGGAGCGCTCACATGGTTTGGTTTGTGCCCGTGCGACTCCCTGTGCGGACCAAAAGCAAGACTGCCAAGGGTGGCATCGGGTGACAGTGAAGTGGAACTCTTGGAGATTAAGTATTTGAAGTGTTTTCAGCTGCTCCTGCAGTTGTCATATTTGTTCATGTCCACTCTTCCACTCATCAGCATTGAAACCGATCTTCTATAGCGCATATCCGCATTTGTTTACACTGATTCCATAACCCGACATTAGGGATCCCCAAGTGGGGGACCTACATGAAAGTGAACTCGTTTTATTCGCAAACATACTGTAGGCAGGAGTAGTGCCTACGCTATCACTGAACACTGTCAAGGCCGCGTAGGCAGTCACGCGTTTCTAGTTTGACTCTTCATGTGGTTGCTGTCTCAAACAGGTGAATCTGTTCAAATTTAGTTTTTTGTTGCTTTCCTTTTCCTGCGTGAGTGTGAAGCCCATGCATTCTGTGTCCAACCCACGCGCCGCAATTCTGACGTGACGGTATTGACTTATTCAATTCAAATCGCGGCTGTAGAATATTGAATGCGTGCGTCAAATGAGTACATCGGATTGTTGTGCTTTCAAGGCAGATGATCCAACCCTCAACATCAGCAAGCGTTCACTAAATGCGGAAGATCAACTATTCCGCTAAATGTCTTGTACTTTCTAAACGCCAAACCGCCCTTCAGAGCAGCCTACGTGCGTGTCACGACTTGACTTGATTCTATATGGCGCGACCGTTTCTCGTTGCTTCCAACGTGCATCCAAACATCCCATACACACCATGGTTCCAACATATAGGCAGTTGTTGAGAGCTCATTTGAAGACTGCACAATTACTCGACTGGATCCACCTTGCAACTCTAAGCATTGTTTTTTCGGCCGTGCATTTGGTTTGACGCCCCTTGGGCTGCTATGTTGTTCAAATGGGGGTGTGCCCAACCAAACTCGCGCACCTCTTCTTCAAATCTCATGCTTGGAGCCTTCCAAAAAAGACACGGGTACGGACCCCATATGGCTTGGTTAAAACGCAAAGTTGGAGTTGAAACCTGTAAGTGTAGCAAGTATACTAGATGGCCAATCCATAGCCTCTAGTCTCTAGGTGCGCCTTACAGCATTGCAGGGGCCGCTTTTCTCAATGGTTTCCACTATGCCCAAATCACTACCCAGGGGGCTTGAATGCGATGTACTGCCACTAGACACAACAAACGGTATTATAGATACAATTGATATACCCCGTTTCCGCGCGCGGTGGTTTGCGGGGAAGTGCAAAATCATAATCTTGCCCCAGCGGTTCCCAGGTACCTCACCAACTTGCTTGCGAAATGGCCTCTAGATTCTCACCAAGGCACAAAGCGAACCGACCGGATCTGACCTTTGTTTGAGGTTCCGAAAGGTGATCAACTTCGTTCTCACTCCCCGAGTTCCTGGACTTTAACCTTTCTGGGAACACCATTTTGGTGGCAAATCAAAGTTTGGACTTTTTCGTCCAATCCACTCGATCGGAAGTGAGTTCTGGGTGACCCAGATGCAAATCGCCCCATGGATTTCGACTTGCGAGGAGTGGAGCTGGATGCTGGGAGCGCAGATCAAAAACCTCCAGCTGCAGACCCTGGTGCCCAGCCTCTTCAACGTTTGGGCGCTGCAGATGCCGTGCCTTTGAGAGGACGTGAAACTGTTGAGGTGGGTCCAACAAGTGGGTGTTGAAACTGAAATCAAATAGTGAAATGGGGCCAAAAAATGGAGGTTCACCACTTTTGATTTGGGCTGATTTCACTTTGAACTTCAAACTGAAATCAGCCCAAAAGTGGTGCTCGAAGAAAAGAGAGTAGCTAAACAAGAAACCTGGGAGGCGAGCCTGACTTTTTTTGGTGAACAAATGCACTCCCACGGGATTACTGGCGAGCGCAAGACGGGAAGTGCTAGCTATGTTTTGCGGGGTGAGCAATGGCCATGTGTTTCCAGCTGCCAATCAGCAAACAAGCACTTTGCGATCTGGCAAGATTTGCCTGGCTCAAGTCTAAACTATCTCAAGGACAAGTAGTAGCCTGTTGATTTCATTTGCCGGTCAGCAGTCTCTGGTTGGTGAGTGGCACAACATGTTTCCGAAGCTGCGAAACCATGACTTGCAGCCCGGTTGCTTGCACTGAGCTTTCAGTCCAACACTTTCTCAACAGCCAGTTGTGTTCGTAGGCGGCCTAGGTCAAACCCAAACACTCAGACGGGGCCGGCACTCGGCCCAAGCCACTCATGCCTTTGACTCGGGTGGCTTGTGCCTTCTGGGAAATATGGACCCCGAGGTTGGCAACCTTGGCTGGACAATTGGCGGCCCGATTTTTTGTTTGCTGATATGGTCGTTGTGTGTTTAGTTGTTGTTAATCTTGTGCCTTTGTTGTTGGTCGTTGGCTTTTTGGTTTGTGCCCTGTTTGTTTGCGTTTGTTTTGTTTGCCTTGTGCCCTGTGCTTTGTGTTCTGATGGCAACCCCCGATGGCCACCGCTCCAATGCTCGAACACCGCCGAGCCCGCGCCGAGCCCGAGGCTGGGCGTGTGGATCTGCCGAGAGGGCTCTTGCAAGACCACGGGCCTCTTCACCCGCAACGCCGCCAGCAGCTCTCAGTGCTGGCGCTGCAAGTGCGGCCGCGCCTTTTGGCCGCAGAGGACTCGAACTGGAAGCCAACAATCATTCTGTTGTTTGAGGCAATCGAGTGATTTCTGTGGGTTCATGCCGAGCTTTTGCATATCTGGCATGGTTTACGGGCGAACTTCCTTGGATGTCATCTTTGTTTCTTTGTGTGCGACAGATTTCGGCCACAAAGGTCCTCTGGGGAGGTCCCATAGTTGAGCTTATGATGGCATTTTGCTCAGTTTCAATGTGGGTGGCTCGTCTGTTTGGAGGCTCGGTACCTTTGTCTGTTGTGGTGATCCCCAAGACTAGGCACACCCATGCAAGGAATTAAGGGGTGGCGGCAAGAAGCGAGCGCAAGGTTCTTCTTCTGACTTAACGTCAGGACGAAGCGAAGGGCCAAGAGATGGAATGAGAGATGAGAAGGTGGTGGATGGTAGAAGGTGGGAAAGGAATGAGTGAGTGAAAGGAATGTCAGCAACCCATCCACTTCCTTCATCCATTGTCTCTCCTAGCCCCGGCCTCTTATATAACTAATTCTTCGATTGGGCCGTCACACCGGGAGCGCAGCGAATTTCTTTCTGGGGCCGTTCAATAGAACTCCAAAGGCTGTTAAATAGACCCAAGGTTGCCCCTTGCTGGCTCCAGACAATGAAGGACCGGCTTAGCCATTGAGACACTTTGTTTCTTGGCGCAAGCATCATGCAAAGCAACTAGTCAATATCATTTTTGGTTGGAGACCCGTCAGTGGACGTCATATGGGTATGGGTCAAAATTAATCCACCAGGGGGCCGCAGGTTCTAGTCCATGTTTCCACTTACCAGGGTTCCATTTTGGGTACCTATTTTTGACCCACAGCCATATATGTCCCTGGCCATTTTGAGGTCCCAGAAGGATTTCAGAGCCAAATCGGTACTCTCCTCCCAGCCCAACTGCTCCCTTGGCTCCATTGGCACCGTGGATTCTTCCTTTGTGTACCAGCTTACAAGGCTTCATCTGCCCATGAGCAAAGGCGCAATTTGGAAACTAAAGCTGAGTTATACATGCATAATAATATATTTTTTCCAGTGTTGGCAACCTTGCGTCCAGCGTAAAACACCACCTCTCGCCCCCGCAAGCCCTGCAAGTGTGACTCACGTGTACTTGGTTTGATAGTGGTGTTTGTGAAGTCTGTGCGCTGAGTTTAGAGAGGTTGTTTTCAGTGAGTATGGGCACAGACCTTGCTTTGTTTTGTGGGGACTTGGATGTTTGAGGGAAGCCATGCGTTGCAAAAGCAAGATGGTTCGCTGGTTTGCTCGATGTACTTTTTGGCTGCCACAGGTTCTTTGTGTTGGTTCTCTAAATAGGGGATCCCAAAATGCCTGGGTTCCCTCATTGTCGTTAAGCAGTGAAGGACATGGTGCCCCAATTTGAGGACTCGATTTCGGCGGTGACCTACCTTCCCTGCTGGTGGCATATTTGGCTGTGGCTCAAAAAACCGGAACCAAAATGGAACCCTGGCAAGTGGAAACATAGACCAAAACCTGCGTAACCCCTCCTGCTTAATTTTGAGCCACACCCATTTGTGTGTGTGTGTGTGTTGTTTCAGTCTTTTGGTTCTGTTCTTGTTTAGAGGGCTCCAAGAAGCAAAGTTGTTCACCATACCAAGGTTGGGAAGCTACTAGCTCACACATCCCATAGGAAGCGTTCGCTGTTGTTCCCCTGTAAAACCACTCTAACATGGGTACCTTCCAAAAAGACACGTAGAGCTGAGCTGAGCTCCGAACATCCCAAAGGGGGCTTTTTTTTTGAAGACGCATCTCGAGTCGCATCTCGAGTCGCATCTCAGATCCGGTCGGCCTTCCGACCGCCCAACGACACGGACCCCCGGCATCCGGGCATCAAGATCATCACCACGGACTCGTTGGAAGAGATCCTTGGGCCATGGGAAGTGGACCAAAGGCCTCACTTGCCCAAAGCGAGTTTCGACTTGTGACCAGTTGGGTTCCCTGATTTGGTCCATGTTTAGCTATGCCCCCAAAAAGGCTTTTTCTGCAATTTGCGGGCGGGTCCTTTGGGCAACAGAGACCCCAATTATGAAGGCCCTTGCAGGTTTGTGGATCAGAGTAGTTTGCCCAGGTGTGGAAATAAGGGCTTCTGTGGCCACGGAGGTCCCTACAGCTCTTTTCTTGTTGCTGTTGAACTCCTTGTCGGCCCATGTAAGGTGAGGTTATTTGGCGGGGTGATGTTGTAGTGAGATTGGGTTCAGGGCCTGGTCAATTCTAGTCGGGCTTTAGGTTGCCACTTGTTAATGGTACCGGACATTTGTTTGTTGTGGGTGTTTGCTTGTGGAAGAATCGGAATTCAAGGCCAGCTTCTATGACAACAAGGAGATCCCCTTTGAAGTGTCCAATTACAGAACATGTTTCTTCCGAAAGCACGTCCTTGGGCTTTCCTTGTTCAGACGGCTTTCGTAGCCGTCATTTGTCCAATCTGCTTTGACAAATGCGGTGGGTTCTTCGTTCAACAGGTGGCTCGTGACCCAACTAGTCAAAGGACACCACACATTCCAATCAGGCCCCTGAAAGCGTGCCCTCGGGTTCTTCTCTTGTGCAGCGTGAACCCCTGGACCCGGTTCCTTTGAAGGGAAGCCAAAACGAAAGTCGCCAATTTTTTTGGGTCTCCTATTTTGACACAGACCCATTTTGAGGAAGGAGTACATGGTTCCGAAGAAGACCTGTCTCATCTTGGGCGAGTTTTGTTTGAACTGGTCAAAAGGATACCCAAATGAAATCCATGTCTAGGATCCTGGACAAACGGGCAAACAAATGGCTGTGGGTCAAAACCAATGGTACCATTTTGGGGTATTTGCACCACCCATTTTAGAACCTATTTTAGCGGTTGGATTAGGATATTCACTGGGGGCACGATTCGGATTTTGACCCCTGGCCAAATCAGCGAAGAGACCCTTTGGTTTGAGCTGGTCAAAAAGGATAACCAAATCCATGTCTTACCAGGAAACTGGTCAAACGGTGACGCCAGAGTGAACCCAGGATCCTGGAGAAGGACAAGTGCGTCTTCATCGCGCTCTCGGCGGACTGGTGCGGGGCCTGCCAGCAGATGAAGCCGGCCTGGTTCGCCCTGGCCAAACTCCTGCAGCGCCGCAGCTGCGAGCTGCGAGTCGATTTCACCGGGGCAGAGAGGGTGGGACAACTTGTCAAGGTCCCCCAGTAGTTCCCTTTTACCGTTTCTTTTTTGGGGGAGGGTTCCCCTGCTAAAATAGACTACAGAAAGAAAGGGTACCCTTATTCTAACCTCTCCTTTGGAGGACATAGTTGTGTTGTTGCTTCTTATCCTGCAATGAGTTGTCCTCAAATCCCTGCGAAAAGTTTAACTTTTGGTGGGTGAAATGGAAACCAGCACACCAACAAAACAACTAAAACGTTATGGGGATTCTGGGATGGCCGGGAACCACCAAGTTACCTGGGTTTTGAGCCTCCGGCTTTTAAATTCTTTGCATGGTTCTGGGCAGACCGTTTGAATGCCGGGTTTTGACTCACTTCGGTTTCAGAGCAACTTCCGTGCTACCAAAGGGAAATCCTTGAAAATTCGTAAAGTAGTCCTGGCGATGGCCTACTTCGGTCTCAGAAAGAGTGATCTTTCCACAATGCTGAAAGTGGTCGCATTTGGGGGGCTCTCCGAATTAGTGGAGGGGGGGGGGGAGGTTTTCCTTGTACACCATTTAGAGGGTAGCCTTGAGTTAACACAGAAATCCACAGTATCGGGACGGGCCCCAATTGAATTGGTATTTGTCCATGTCCTCTTTCACAAAAAAAGTTCCTGGGGATTTTGAAGTAGTTCTGAAAGGTGTTGGCAAACTCAGAGGCCGCAACACATACCCATCAAACACGAGGATTTCCTGTAGGATTTTTTCAGATCCAAGGACTTCCTCGGCGGTCACCGTGGCGGTGATGAACATCGACGAGAACGACGTGGACCGGCGCTACTTCCCCGAGCGCCACATCCCGGTGGTGAAGCCCCTGGGCCTGCCAATACCTGTTTTGAAAGAGGGGATAGTCCTTTTGATCGGTTGGTTTGGATAGAAATATATGGGTTCCGCTGGCTTAGATCGGTTAGTTTGGTTCGACATAGATGGTGCTGGCTTAGATTGTTTTATTCCATGTACCAAGGCCATCTAGTTTTTGACAAGGTCGCCTATGGTGCCTTTTTTTGTGAGGGTAGCTCTAAGGGTTGGTTCCCACTCGCATCCTTCTCTTGACCCAGTCTCAGTTCGCTTGGGGTTGTGAAGGCCAGGTCTTGCCTTTCTGGGGGCGTTTTTTGGTAGCCATGGAGCCGGATGCAGTGACAGGTTCTAAACAGCCCCCACCTCTACCGCCTCTACCCTCCAAAGGTGACACGTGCCGTGAAACTATGAACCTGCGCGAAAATCAGAAAAGCTGGGCGGTTTGCTGAGTAATTCAAGGGCCCAAACAATTAGAATGGGGTGGGTGGGTGCTTTGTAAACAATATTTAGTCACCATGATTGTGGTAAACTACCTAATTATATTTAGCCCCCCTGTATTACCCGGTACCCCTTTGGTTAGCAGAAGCTGAGGTTTGGCGACCTGTACTGTAGATAATGAGTCACCGCGGCTGCCTAAAATGGTGGATTTTTGTGTACCGCCAGCTGATCCCAATTGGATGTTTCAGAAAGGAACCTACAGTCTATACTCAGAAAGCCTGGTTACCTAAATGAGGACCACCTTGTTTGGATGCTTCGAAAGGGAACTTGGCCACCTACAGCTCGGAAGCCCGGTTACCTAATTACACAATATGTCAAGAGAGAACTTGACCAAGCGGCGCTGGACAGGTACATTGAGACACATCCATGTGACAATGTGGCATGAATTCTCGTAGGGAACTCCCCTGAACAGGGCTTGGCGGACAGAGTGATCCCCCGTGTACATGACCCGCCAAAGGGTCCCAACTCAACTTTTTTGGCACCCATGCCCATGCGGCAAGCAAAAGAATATATGGGGACCTCCAGGTGCCCATGTGTCAAAACAAACATATTAGGGGATCTCCCAAATGGATTCCGATGTGCTCAAGCCTTTTACCTTTGGACCGCATCCGCCCAGATTGCTGGTGAAGAAGGTCTCCGAGGATGGCATGGACGAGAAGCCCACGGTCCTCCCTTACGAGCCTTCGGCTGGTCGGATGTGGGGTGCGTTTGTCGTCGAAAATTGGGGCGCCAGAACGTGGCTGTCTTTCAAGTTTTCGGCTTGCGCTTCAAACAGCCACGCGTGGCATTGCCATGGAGACAAACCCACTATTTGAGGCCATCGAAGATGTTTGAGCTAGGACATGAGCTAAAGCTTTCATTTAAGGCTAGGTCCCCCAGTAGTGCCCTTTTATCTTTTTTTAGGGGAGAGTTCCCCTGGTAAAATAGACTACATAAAAAAAGGTACCCTTACTGTAACCTCTCTACTGGAGGACCTAGAAGGTCTTGATCACAAGATGAAGTAGGTGCACTTCCAGGAGTTTGCATGGCAAGCGGTAGCTAGGACGGTGGCATGTAAGAACGATGTGTGAAGGCGATCGCTGTTAATATGGGCGGGGTCCCATGAACAACGTTTGGGACGACATCCAAGGCGACATCCAAGGTCGCGGCCCAGCAAAGCCACTCCGATCGGCGAGCTAAATGTTAACCCCGGATTAATACAGCTCCTGGTTGATTAATAGGGGGGTGTCCCCTTTTAGTGGGGATTCAGACCACTTTTGGAGGGAACACCCCCCAAATGGGACGGGTTCTACTTAGATCCTTCAACATTCTCCGTGTCCCCCAAAAGATGCAACGGAAGGTTGTTTTCTTTTCCCCAGCTGAAAGCTATTTGGTCGATCGGCCCGAATAGGGGCAGTTTTTAGGGCGGCTTGGGGCAGTTTAGGGAGGGTTCCGACGATTCCATGGGATTCCGCTGTTGGGGATACCACCTGGGCTTGTTTTGGTTTCCACTTGCCACCATCCTGAAGGTTTAGAACCCTTCAAAAAAGCCTTGCGGTTTCCTTTGAACACCATCCGTAGGGCTTTTCAGCAACACCCACACGCTCTCTCTTCTCTCCAGGAATATGTTCTGGAAGTTTGCCCAACTCCCTGCTTTTTGTGGGTATTTGACAGATTTTGAGGAGTAGATCTCTCTCTCTTTTTCTCTTGGCTCAGGAGGGTGGCCACAGTATCGCCAGCTGGCTGAGCTTTTTGATGCAGCACACCAGCCTCAACCTGCAGGAGGTCCTGGATTCCAACTACGACTCCTACGTCAAGGAGAAACCCGTGGTCTTGTGGACCACGCACAAAGAGTGTTTGCTTTGGGGGCTTCCCTTTGGGACAGCCCCAGAAAGAGTTCCCTCGAAAATGAAAGACACTCATGTAACATGGTGCTTGGCTTTTCTCTATTGATTCTTTAAAGGGAAGAAAAACCGGGAGGACTCTCACAAGACTTATATGTTGGTCCAGTGGCTATGTCAATGATAGCAGATCTCCGTTGAAGTCTGGGTTTGCACTTTAGGGTTCCCCCAAAAATACCCTTTGCATGCTTTTTGGTATGGTGGGTTTTCTGAATTTGAATCGGTCGGTCTACTGTCAACTGATTTTGGTGGACCAACTGCGAAGACTCCGCCTGGTTGAAGGCAAAAGCGCGGCACAGGGGTGGGGGGCACTGTGGATGGACGCAATCCGTTCGCACCACGAACTAAATCCATGATTGAAACCACAACGTTGGTTGGTATTTTCAGGGGACTTCTCAGAAACCAGGGCTTCTGAACGGTGGTGCACAATTTTGTTTTCGCCACCATCCACAGTGACGAGTTCCATGGGAGTTTTGGCCAGAGGGAGCCGGCCAAAACGGGAGGTTAGGGGTTCAATGTTTCAAGTAATGTTGACCCCATATGAATCAAGCAACCAGTTAATTCATAAGGGGGGTTCTTTTTGGCCCCTCAAAAAGTGGCCTGATTGCCCACTAAACCCAGAAAAGGACACCCCCTATTCATAAACTGGGGTTGATTAGTATGCGGTCAACATTACGTACCTGAATCCACGAAGTGCAGCTATGCGGATCCTGCAGTCGTGTATAGCGTGAGCAGCAATGCATACGTAAAACTCATGAGTTGTGGCTGAAGAGCGCGCGTCCGGTGTTGGTCACAGGGTTCTTCTTTTCGAAGTCTAGGCCGTTCTTTCCCAGTAAGCCTATTGTGTCCTTAGTGCAGATTTTACCGGGCAGAGCGAATGCCTAGGACATTCCCTCCTTTGCTTCGACGATTCGACCCTCGACCTCCAACTTGGAACAGGTGTTTGTTCCCAACACAGAATCAATAAACCCCTGTTGGCTCACAAGGCGGTGTCCCATGTTTAAGGATGGACCCAACACACTTTTGAGGGAAGCATGGGAAACTTCACCTTATGAATCCACCAGGTTCAGGGTCGACAGGAGCCCGCAAAAGTAAGACGGTCAGCCTTCGACTTTGGGAAGAATACGGTTGACTGATTGGGGGGTTCTCAATGTCAGAAACTGAGCTTGTGTCCCTTAACCTTCCACTTTAGGGGCTGACTTTGATGGTAACCTAGTCAACCCTTTTCCCTTCGGAGCCCCTAAAGTGGAAGGTTGAGTGAAGGTTAAGCTTAGGCTAAGGCTAGACTTGGGCGAGCAAAAAAGGCGAGACTCGCGGGTCAGTCGAGCCAAGCCCTTTCCCGGGAAAGGAGTTCAACATCGAGAGCCTGCTCAAGGCCTTGACGGCTGCAGCCCGCACCGCCTTGAAGGACGGAGCATCAAGATGGGATGGGGTCGGCAAAATGTGAGGCGCGAGAGATTCTATTGGGTTTGGGGTTTAGGGGTTTAGGGGTTTGGGGATTTGGATTCCATTGGGTTGATTCGATTTTTAAGATTCAGACAGAACATTTTTGATGGGGGGCGCAAGCTGAAGTGCGTTCACGGTGTTGGTTTCTCAGTTGAAGCCGGCGGACAAACTCTCTTTGTAGCGCTGGGGTGTCCACTTTCTTTATATGCCCACGTCTGTGTCCTGTTGGTCGCTCCTACTCAGATACGCCTGACAAAGTCAACTCCCATATTTGCTTGGTTGTTTCCCTCCCCCGACTGGAAATTGCAGCCTGCCAGAACTGCGGTAAGGAATCCCTGCCTCTCAGCCAGCACAACAAGCCCGACAAACTTCCCTTGAATAACTCCAATAAGCTGGGCACGATGGCTTCTGTAGGGACCCATCACTTCCAGAGTTTGAGGCCGCTGGCATTTTCTCCGGCGGCAATTTGTATTGCCTTTGGATTTGCTCCAGGGACATGTTTTATGCAGATGCCAGCTCCGTTGGGGCCATGATCTTTTCACAGCCAAGCCTTTTGAGGGGATCGGACCCTAGGAGCAAAGCAAAGTCATCCTCGAGGGGCTCTTTGCCTCTTTGTCCTCCCATAACGGCGATGGCCATGGTCAATTTGCATTTGCTCACGGGCACATTTGTTTTTTCCTCCTTGGTTTCAAAGGGAATCTATCACAACAAGACAAATATTACATTTTTCTTCAGTATTTCAGTGGGGCTTCAAATGGCCATGCTCGCTTCTCGCTCGCCAGGAGGGTTGGGGCGCAGACAGCGCGGTGGGGGGCGGCAATGCCGGCGGATGGCGAAGGCTTTGCGCCTTCCTCTGCAACTACTGCTGGGATCCCGCGCCTTGGCGCGCAAGGTTTGGCGCCCAAGCGGTCAAGGCAGGGGAGCAGGTGGCACCATGCCTGAATTTTTGCGCAAGAACAACATACCTAATGATCCTTTGTTGGCGCTTCTTGGCGCTTTTCGGGCACCCAAGAAGGAAAGGCAGTGGACCATGCCTTCCAGGTAAGAATCTGCCTTTTGTATTCTCTTTTGGTGGTAGGTTAAAATAAAATTATCACTATTGGTGTTTGGTCCAGGGGACTTGAGGAGATGGAGGATGCCAATATCAGAAGGGCAGAAGGAAGTGCATCCAGGGGTCCAATTGGATTTCCCACTCAGCGGCTGGCCTGACTTGGGCTGATGGGATCTGTGATGGTAGCATTCGTCAGCACGGATTCTGGTGCAGCACCTGAAAAACTGCTCTCACGTGAAACAATCAGCACCAGTGCGCCAGCTTTGAATTCCTCAGCGACCTCGGGCTTTTGCAACGACTTAAGTGGCCAGTGCATCCACGCTTATCACAGACAGCACTATGGCAACCGCGGATTCATGCTATATTCGTAGAGGGCTTACCCAAGCGAAGGCAAGGACACGCGTCAAACTGGAACACCTCCAATTGATCAATCAGATGTTTGAGACTGTCGCATACCCACAGGTGGCCACCACGTATGCCGAGGTTGCTTGCACGCATGAAAGAGTTGAAAAGAGATGTTTGTGAATGTAATGTTTGAGGCCCATTCCAGTCATTGTCAGTAAATAACCAAGGAACTTGCATTAGGTATGTCGGCGTCCCTTATGGTCATGATAGAAAGCCTTGCCAAACCAAGTTCCAACAGTGCGCGATGGGAAGAGCTTCGGATCATGCTTCTGCCTGAGTTTTCACCTGCCAACCTAACTCACCAAGAAGTGGTGGTTTTGGCACCAATCCGAAGCTGGATTTGTCCAAGGGACTGGATTTCCTGAATCGGACCCCTTAGACGGAGCTCATGAAATCGTTTATGGGTTGGGCGCTAAACAGGCCATATTCTTATTTTCCCAAAAGCAAAACCAACTCAAGATGGCTATTGTGTCAGCTGTTCCAGACCTGCTCTGTGCATTTAATTGACTAGCTCCCCATTTGGGTGTCTCAAAATTGTGGTCCCCTAACACATTTGGTTTCCCTGTTTCCCTTTGGTTTCATTTTAACAAACTATTGGGTGTATTTTGAATTAGCGGACCCCCTATTGTTTTGGGTTTCCTCTTGGTTTCCCTTTTAAACCTACAACAAAACAGTACCCTCAAAAGCGACAAACCCATCTGGAGAAACCCGATTCAACTCCCAGCTTTTACCCCAGGACCAGTACAGCCAACTCCCTGCCGCGCCCGAAACGGGCGAAGACGAGCTCTGGATCCGTCTTCTGCTGAAGCGCGTGAACGAGGCGGTGGCGTAGCGTCTTGAGCGCGACGGGGACTGCGGTCCAGCAAATGTAAAACTCGGAAGGGGCAACCTGAGTTTCTCTTTTTGTTTGTTTTCTTGTTGTGGCCAATAGGCGCGGTAAGCTAGTGATCCCAGGTAAAGAAGCAGTTTATACGTGTTTGTCCGAATGTTTGGAGATATTGGGGGAAACGGCAAGTTGAGATCTTGAGCTGTCCAAACAGGAAATGAGCCCCAAAAAAGGGGTGCCCTCAAAAGCGCCGCCGGGGTATGCGGGAAAAGTATGGCCTGTTAGCGGTCAGTGTGCTTTGGTGTCCCTTTCAAGCCATCCAAAAAGGTGGACTGTGGTTGCGGCAAACTAGTTTTTAGGGCCACTTTTGTGATACAAGGGCTCCTCCTTTGAATCGACAAGGCAGTGATAAGGCGGGTCCACTTCGGTATCACAGAAAGGCGACGTCCCGCAACCATGTGCTGGACATTGGACATTCCCATTTTTCTTGGCACTCTCGCGTGGGTTTGCCTCAAATTGAGGGACCGTCCAAGATTTGCTTTCGGTTTTCCCGGTTTGCTTTTGAAGCCGCGGTGACAAAAAAGCAATCCCATTTTGAGGCCCAGATTCTCCATAGCTTGGTCTGCCTTTCGGGACCCAAGGTTGGCTAAAATAAAGTCGGTGGCCTGTGGGCTCCCCTGACCGTCGGCTCAGGACCCCGGACTGGCGGTTGCCCATGCCTGTTGGAATTCACAACCCGTTCATTTGGGTGGAACCAACATATCAAAGGGGTTGAGACTCACCAACTCCCAAGATTAGAACATTGGTGAAGGTTGTAAACCGTTTCCTTTGGTTGCCCTTTATCTCTGTACCATGTCTAGGTCTCCCAGTAGTGCCCTTTTACCGTTTCTTTTTTTGGGGAGGGTTCTCCTACTAAAATAGACTACAGATAAAAGTTGGTACCCTTATTCTAACCTCTCTACTGGAGGACCTAGGTGAAGGTTGTAAGCCGTTTCCTTTGGTTGCCCTTCATCTCTGTACATGTTGTGCCATGTTCTACCCCCAGTTCAGTCCCAAAAGCTTGGACCTGGGGACAAAGAGCAACTCGACGCAGGAGGCGGAGAAGGCTTTGCGCGGGGGGCACCCGCGACAGCCGTTGGCTTTCCTGCTGGAGCAGGCGGAAAATCGGATCCACCGTATTTGGTTCTGCGGTGGGGGGGGGGGGAACCAGCGAAAAGCCGTGAAGATCGATGCTTTTCCCAGTGCCACTCTAGGTAACGAGTCATGTTGCTTTGGTTTTCAAGGGTGGTTACCTTGGTTGTTCAATATACAGGGGAAATAGAATGACTGGGTTAAACAGGATCCTTTTGTTCTGGTTTGGAGTTATTCTCAAAATGCAGAAGGGAGCTTGCCAGAGAAAGGAAGCGGGGACTGGGAAAAGATGGGGCGCTTTGCGAAGCAGCAGAAGTTTTTGTCTGCTAAGATGTCCACCTCCGAAAACTAAACTCCTAAGCTCAATCACGGCCCTTTGAGAAGCACGGCATGTCTAGGATCCAAAGTGGGTGTACCAACCTGAAAGGGGAGGGGTATCCTGAAACAACACGAGCCTCTTTGGCCAGGCTCTCCTTTGAGAAATGGCCGTGGGTCAAAACCATTAATGGTACCATTTTAAGGTAGGTGCACCACCCATTTTAGAACCGATTTTGGTGGTTGGATTGGGATGTTCACTGGGGCTAATCGATTTGGATTTTGACCCATGGCCAAATGATCCATGGCCAGGTCTTCCTCCCGGGCTCGAAGCCGGACGATCTGCAGACCATCCGCGCCGGAATGCTGGCGGAGAACGTGGTGCAGCGGGGCGACTCAGGCGGGGAAGAGGGAAGCCCGCGCCGGCGTCGGAAGCGCCGATGATGCGTCGATGATGTTTGCTAATTGAAATGGTGCGGGAATCTTCCCGATATCGCGAGAATCACCGGAGAAGATATTTCCCTTCAAATTACAAGCATGGAGCTGAGAAAAGGCCCCCCCAAAAGGAGATTGCTCTACGAACAATGCTTGTTTGTTAATCTACAGAGTAGTACCACTATCAGAGTCACCCACGCACCCCCGTGTTGTAAGCGGTGGGTTGAAGGGAAACACCCCCAGTTTCAGACTTTGATCACCCCGGGAACGGTCACGTAGGCTTTTTCCAAGCACATGGAAGTGCACAGGCGCTTCCCGGGGAGAAAAAAAAACACATATGTAATTCAGTGTTCCAGAGCCCTGTGATCGAGCGGTTATTTTATGCGCAAAGCTCCGATAGGATCGGCTTGACACACTTGGCAGAATTTAATCATTTTCGCCCAAGCAGTCGCATGGGTCCCCCATCTCCAAATGCTGAATGTATATGCCCACATATGGGTATGGGTCAAAATTGAACCACCGGGGGACAGGTTTTAGTCCATGTGTCCATTTACCAGGATTCCATTTTGGGTACATCTTTTTGACCTCTTCAGCCATATGAAGCCGCCCCAACCCCAAGCTCCCCCCCACTCCCCCGGCCCCCGCATTCGCCAGGGGAGAGCAAGGACCGCGCGGCGGCCCAGCAATGGTCCGCCGTGGAGCAGCAGAAGGCGGCGGCCAGGGCAGAGCCCATGGCGCGGCCGATGCTGCAGAGGAGCGAACCAGACGCACCAAAGGCCTTTGGGGAGCCCCGACCCGTTTTCGGTTGAAGGAAGGAGCCCTTCCACATGAAGGAAGGATCTTTTTTGGAGGCTACCCATTCTTTTTGGGACAACAACTGTTTAGTGAGTCCATTAAAATGAAGACGCCTATTGGAAGGAAAGCCTCTCTAAAAAGCCACTCCAAAAACAAGGAAAGGTAGCCTCGAAAACGGGAAACACCCAATTGCCTCACTTCCTGAGTTGGACTTGACGCATTTTTTGTTTGTTGCCCATCAACTCAGGAAGTGAGATGCGGCCAATTTCGATTTTGGGGCGGAGGAGGGGGTGACACTTCTGCCCCATGGTTTCCCGGTAATTTCCCAAGAAACACCCAGTGTCACACATGTGAATTCGCAGGGGAGTAAGTGGGGTGGTCCAAATTTAGGGGTCATTTTTAGTATCTTCTTAGGGCGCCGGGATTGGGGTGGAGCCATGGGACAACTTTGCTGTTTGAAGCAAAACTACTGCCAGCAGAACAACTCTGTGGCCGGTGTTGGTCTGGCGCTTTGAGTTGGGGAGTTTGCTCTCCCCAGTGAAAATTCCGCCCCATGGCGCTGTTTGTGCTGTACAATTTGAAGCGTTCAGGCGCGAGCGACAGCGGTGGGTAGCATTTGCCGCGATACTTCGTCGACCCGGCATGTGTTGCAACCATGCTTCGGTCTCAAGCAAGCCAGCCTTTGAACTGCATCTTTTCCGTACCCAACGAACGCCTCATTCCAAGGTCCGGTCCCGGAAGGAAGGATGGGAACTGAAGATGTGGGCGACGTCCGTGTGTGTTTTAGGATACCCCCCTTTTTGGGGCTCAAAGGACCTCACAAAAGCCGCCCGTGGATCCCTTTTTGTGGACGGAAAAGTCCAGGAAAGCGGGAAACCACCAGGAAACCACCCGTGGCTCCCGTATTTGCGGCTCAAAAAAGTGGTACCAAAATGGCACCTTGGTAAATGGAACCAAAGACTAAAACCTGCGTAACCCCAGCTCTTTAATTTTGAGCCACGCCCAATTGAACAAATCCATGGGGCAGTAGGTTTGCTCTCAACCAAAGCCTTCAGGAGTTGGGCCAAGATCAAGCAGGCCATCGACTCCAGGCGGCCATCGACTCCCGTTGCCTGAAGCTTTGGATTCGTTTGAAGCCAAACCAAAGGGCGTTGATTTTTTGCTGGTAATGGATTTATTCTATGTTTGGGAGACCTCTTTTCTTTTTTCGCAAGCTTCCATTTTCGGGAGAGACCTCTTGCTGGTATTCCTGAAGCGACTGGTGGCTTGTCAAAAGCTTCGACTTTCCCGTGCAACTGTCCAAAACCCGCAACTTCCCAAACTCCCGAAGCCCTCGCAGGGCTTTCCGCTCGCTCAGGGGAAAAAGGGAGAGCTTGCAGGGGTTGCCTGTTCCCTTCTTCTTGTCGGCCGCGCCTAAAAAAAAGAAAGCAAGCCTGACAAGGGTACCTTCCCCAAACGTAAGGACCCCCCTCCTTTTGCTCGGGGACCTTTTCGGGGGTTCTCTTGAAACCATCCACAAAGGAGGTGGCCCGAAGTGCTCCCCCTCCGTGAGAACCCCCCCCTTCGAAGCTGCCAAAGCGCAGGTCGCCGAAGCGGATGCAGACGCTGCAGGAGGGTCACCTTGAAGTTCTTTGGAAACGTGCCATTGTTCTGAGCAATTGATTTGCGACCTCACAGAACACCAAAAGACCGCATCGCCTGGAACTTGACGACAACCATAGAATTGGACTGATTGTCCAAACCTGACGTTTGGTTGCTTACGCAAATTTAATACTTGAAGGGTGGATACCACCATTCCCTCATGTTGGTTTCAGCATCCCTTACCTGCCTTGATGCAATGAATCATCAGCCCGGCTTTTCCGTAGCCTTTTTCCCCAATGTTCTTCTGTGGCTTCCCCCAAAAAGGCGGTCACCCCCTTTTTGAGAACTGGCCTCCCCGATCTTTCCCGACAAGAAAAACCTGACCACGTGTTGCGCCCGAAAAAATATAACATCGGGGCAATCGGAGCGAGCGAGTCAGGAGCTGCTGACGAGGGGCCTGGATTTGGACTTCGAGGACTTGGGCCACGAGCAGCCGAGCGTGATGTGGTTGGCGGCCGCCAACAACGACCTCGAGGCGCGACCGGGGCTGGACGGGGGGGTTAGGGTGGCCGAAGGGATAGCGGTCGATCCGACCTTTCGGTTCATGGTTGGCAATGTTCCGGGGCCTGGCAACTGAGATAAGTATGTCCGTAGTTGGGGGGAAGGACAGGGGGGGGGGTTCTGAGTTCACGGACCTTCAAGGGTTGCGGTGCTTTTGGATAAGCCTGGAAGGTTTTGAAGGCTCCCTCGCGGGCGTGTTGAACGATCGCACTGCAACAAAGCGGCTGGGGGACCCCAAGAGGTAAAAAAATCTGGGTTCCCAGCAGGTCCCAGCCAGAAGAAGGCCCATAGCAAGGCTCATTGATCAAGTTCAAAAGTGCCCACGCGGGTTTGGGTGGGAGGGTGTTGGTTGGCCATACAAGAAGCTGCCAACTTTGCAAGACTGCCAGTGTTACTTGTTGGCGTGTCATTGTGTTGGGCCTTGAATCAGAAGAGGCCCCAAAGGGGTGCCCAATGTCCCAATCCCGTCCTTGCTTGCAGCCCAAGTTCCAACCAGTTGTTTTACCCGTTTTTAGGCTTTCCTATGTTTCCTCGGGATGTTGAGACATTGCCATCATTGGACATATCAAATTCAAATGATTTTCCTTTTCCAATTCCATTCTATCCACCGACCAACCGACCAACCGGTTGGGTATTTTCTAAGCATGCGTTGCCCCACCTTTTCCCGGCGCCAGGAAACCAAGCCAACCGGTGACTCATCAGAATCACCTTGGCTTGGCATCTGCCCCATTTTTTTTTGCCCTCCCCCGGTGCGTTTGAGATGCAAAGGGCAAAGGGATCCCCTTCAAGTAGCTTTCTATGAGACATCCTGTCCAATCCTTTATGTTTGTTCCAAGGCAACTTCTTTCAAAGCGCCGCATAATCTCTAGGGCGCAGCCGGATGTTTGAAAATATAGAAGAGGGATCAACTTGTGGAATGCTCAAACAAGTTTGTTGGCCAACAACCCACGAGTTGTTCAATGAGCACCTACTGCGGTGGGTTTCTTTCTAATAAACAGAAGTGGTCAGGCCCCAAAACTAACGTTTGTTTGTTTCTGCCAAACAGGTCGCAGGGCCATTGGGGGTGGTTGCGAACTTGGGCTCACGAATGCCCCCTTCATGGAAACCGAAATCAGGGCCTGTATTTCGACAGCCCTGGCAAGTGCTTCAACCCGAGTGGGAGATGAGCCCAACATATCTCTAGCTATGACTTTGGCCCCAACCGCCATTTCTTATGCCTTTTTCCAGCATTTGAAAGCCGCCAAATCTATGTTGCCGACCAGTTTCTTTCCGCCCACCACCCTTCCCCTTTTTTTGCTGGCCCTGCTTGTGGGGCTCTTTCTGGGGCCTGGCGAAACGCCCCTCTCGGCTGAACTGCGACGCTTTTTGATGACACCGTTTCCCCCGCCCCCCCCTGTCCCCCCCCCCCCGACGCTTCCCCCCGCGACCGCTCCCACGGGCGAGGTGCTGCAGTTCTGCCTGGCCTACGGCGCCAACCCCCACCGCGCCACCGAGGGCGTCTTGCCCACCGAGGCGGCGGCCGCCACCGGGTCCCTGCAGGCGGGCTGTCGCTGGATGCGGATGCGGTGGATTCGGATGGGTGGAAAACTGAGGGAAACCCGGGGGCCTCAAAGAAATCGGTGCATTCAAATGGCAAGGGGGTCCCTTTGGTTTGGCCCCTTGAAATGGCAAGAAAGTGTTGTGGGGGGTTTCGAACTTCAAATGAAATAAGAGGTCGACATCTTGAGAAACATGTCATCAGCACATGGGAACCCTGACGAATGGGCCAACATGCCGTGAGGCCACCACAAGAAAGCCTGAGCCCAACAAAAGGGAAACTTTGGACATGAACGTGGCTTCCAAGTAGCGGCTCCTGTTCTCAGAAGGAGGGTTCGTTCCTTTGTGATTGTGTTGAGGAGGGACCCCCTTGACAAGGGCCCTGTCGGCATAAGATTGTTTGTTGAGGAGCGTCCCTCTTGCAGCATTGTTTGTTTTCAGACAGTTGCAAGACCATGGCACCGAACAACGAATCATGTGTATTTTCATCTTGACCTGCAAGCGGCAACGCGTGCTACACATATAGGCATATGTTTCAGCCATGGTTCCTGCGTGCACGACTATGGTTCCTGTGTGCACGACTAATATGTTTTCGTAAAGAGCTTGCGGTGTGTGCCTTTAACACTCAACTTTTTGTTGTGCCCGGAGAGTTTCAGCAAAGAGCGGCCTTGAAGCAATTATGTTGGCCGGTCAGGCCCTGCTTGAATATCGCCTTGTGGGAGTGATGGGTTTTGAATTGGGCGGACATCACAGGACAACGAACAAACACAAAAACAAATGCGGCACTCACCAGACTCGCCAGACCTGTGGATCTGAGAAGGCCTCTCTCAGATCCCAAATTACCACGGTAGATACGCCATGTTCCTTTCAGTTGTCCCACGTGGTTGTCCCTTTGCTGCCTACAGTCGCGTGAGTTGGTCGATGGCGCAATTCCCAGTCTGTTCAGTCATCCTTCAACGCTAAGCCTGTAGGATTTTGTCAACCTTGCATTGATCAAGGGCAATCATGTAAGATGGTCCCACACGTAGACGCAGTTGGCCTGTCAACGGGGTGAGTTGAACGCCACAATTCCTTCGTGGGCAAAGGTAACCAAGTGGTGAACCTAGCCCAAGCAGTGGTTCATCATGAGTTTTTTTTTGAGGGTATTCTTGCTAGGGGTGGTTCAAAGGGAACCTAAAAGCAACAACTATTTTTTGAGAAATCCCCTGTATTGTTAAAAGGGTTGACTTGACCCCCAAAAAACTGACGCCCTCCCAGCCAATAGACCTGGGTGAACTATAACGACCGCACACGACCTCACCCCAAATGGTGGTTTGTGTGGGAAATATTTCCGCCATCATTTCAGGTTGGTGAAATATTAGAATTCACCCAGATGGATGTCTGAAAGTGGTTTCTTTTCGCTCGTCGGCGCTCAAAGCAACGAGCGAGGTCGAGTGTCGAGTGCTCGATGTCCGGAGGCTTTGGCCATGCTGCTGCGGGTGGGCGCGGTGTGCGGCCGCGCGCTGCACTTCGCGGCGGCGACCTCGCAGCTGGGGGCTTTGAAGGCCAGTGAAAGGGACGTGGGGCGAGTGGGGCGAGTGGGGTGAGAGGTGGGAAAGGGGTGGGGTGGAGGGCAGTGGGTGCGGGGCATTCCCAAAGGCTTGCAGGATGACTCGTGCTATTGATGCCATGGGGATTCGGATTCGGCCGGGACAGGTCCCAAGTTGTGGGAGATCCCGAAGTGGAGCCTCTATGGGAGCAAGGTGGCCCTTGCTTGTGCTCTTTGGTTTACCTTGACCTTTGGAACATGTGTCCATACTTTCTCGTAGGCCTATAGGCCTTGCCTTCGAACTTGCAGGGTCGAAGAGGTTCCCTGGGCCAGACGCTCATGAGGGATGGCTGCTGTCATCGCCAGAGCTGAGAGTCAGGGCCTAGATTTCACCAGTGGAGTATCGATGTTTGAGTTACATTTCAGATGTTACATTGGGCGTGTGGCCAAGAGTAGAGCAAACAACAACTCGAGCCTCTTGTAGTAAGGCCTAAGGATAGAACATATACACAAGAAATGGCCACGAGCAACCTGACAATTCATTTGGCAAGCGCCAGACCGGATAGGCAATGTCAACTTCAGATTGACCAGTCAACGCAATCCCCTGAAGTAAATCCTAAACTAGGGCGGCGGGAAAAAGGGGGGGTTGCCAACAGATGACCAGCCTATGTCTGCATATTTCAATTCGAGCTCACCTGGGGCCTGGGGGTAACACGAGCTCACCATGGAAAATGTGATTGAAGATCCCTTATTTCAGGTTTTGGAGATAGTTTCTCAGCAGGGAATAAGCGAATGGGAATCCCCAGGTCCATTCCCTGCTTGGGTAGTTGTCTACTTATCGCCCCAGCAAGTACTCCGGGGCTTCTCCTTGACGCGGATCGTTTTGATCGCAGGTACTGGTCAACGCCAAGGCGGACGTGTGTCTCCGGGTCAGAGGCCTGTCCCCTTTGGCGGTGGCGGCCAGCCGCGACAACGACGAGGTCGTGAGGTTTTTGCTCGCCAACTGGCAGCAGGACGGGGAAATAACGCGGGAGCCGGAACTTTGTTATGTCTTGTTTTTTGTTTCGCAAGGTATTGATGTTTTTGTTTGTTTAGTTTTTGTGGATGGGTGAGTGGGAGTTGCCACTCTTAAGTGAGTCTATTCTTTCACTCTACTGTTTGTTGTTGCTTTATCCAGACGGGTCTGTAAAATTTCATCAATATATTTGTGGAGGACATCGTGGGCAGCATGCTAATTTGACATTCATGATGTCTTGTTGACTTGCACTTGTTGGACAAGTTGTCATGTGTTGCTTTGAGCAAGTTTCTTTGTGTGTGTGTGTGTGTGTGTGTGTGTGTGTGTGTGTGTGTGTGTGTGTGTGTGTGTGTGTGTGTGTGTGTGTGTGTGTGTGTGTGTGTGTTTGTGTGTGTGTGTGTGTTTGTGTGTGTGTGTGTGTGTGTGTGTGTGTGTGTTTTTGTGTGTGTGTGTGTGTGTGTGTGTGTGTGTGTGTGTGTGTGTGTGTGTGTGTGTGTGTGTGTGTGTGTGTGTGTGTGTGTGTGTGTGTGTGTGTGTGTGTGTGTGTGTGTGTGTGTGTGTGTGTGTGTGTGTGTGTGTGTGTGTGTGTGTGTGTGTGTGTGTGTGTGTGTGTGTGTGTGTGTGTGTGTGTGTGTGTGTGTGTGTGTGTGTGTGTGTGTGTGTGTGTGTGTGTGTGTGTGTGTGTGTGTGTGTGTGTGTGTGTGTGTGTGTGTGTGTGTGTGTGTGTGTGTGTGTGTGTGTGTGTGTGTGTGTGTGTGTGTGTGTGTGTGTGTGTGTGTGTGTGTGTGTGTGTGTGTGTGTGTGTGTGTGTGTGTGTGTGTGTGTGTGTTTTTGTGTGTGTTTTTGTGTGTGTTTTTGTGTGTGTGTGTGTGTTTTTGTGTGTTTTTTGTGTGTGTGTGTGTATGTGTGTGTGTGTGTTTGTGTATGTGTATGTGTATGTGTGTGTGTGTGTGTATTTGTATGTGTGTGTGTATGTGCTTGCGTGTGTGGTTGATGTGATCGGATTTATGAATGTGTTGATGTGGCCATTGTGTTTAGCTGGCATTTAGGGGCAAGCAAACGAACGGGGGATGTCTACTTTGCCATAAATCAACGAGCAAATGAGCAAGTCGTGGAAGTTGGCAAGCACGAGACTGTGGCTGAAGCTTCTGTTGGAGGTCCTTGTTGTTTCTTTTGTTTGTTCGAAGTTGATTGTTGTGTGTGCTGTGTTGATTGATTTGAGTTTGATGCTTGAATTCAATATGATTGTTGAGTTCCTGGACTTTAGTCGCTTTGGGAAGACAATTCTAGTAATAAACAAGTTGAGACTCCTGGTTGCGAATCCACTCGATCGGACGTGAGTACGAGGTGAGTATTAGCCCTAAGCCTTCAAGGGGGGGGGGGTGAGGTGTCCCCCTGAAAGGTGAGTGGTGATGTTTTAAGGTTGGAAATATACAGGGCTCCCTATGTTCCCGTTTTGGTGGTTTTAGACATCGCCTTTTGGGCCAATTCAACATGACCTGTCGTTGTTTTTTGTTGGAGTGATGTTTAAAGGGGAAGTATAGGGAGCCCTGATATAGGGAGCCCTGCTTGCTTAAGAATATCTTTTAATTTGCCCTGTTGGTTTTGAAGGGAATCTATCACTACTGGAATTTGTTTTTGGTTTTCAACTTAATCCGATGGACCCTGATGAACCTCCATTTGCTTAAGACTATTTCTTATTTTCCCTTGTTGGGCTTGCAAGGAATTCAGCACTACTGGAAACATACTTTTTCCAGTGGCCTTACCCAAATGGACGTATACCTCATGGTTGATGGGAAAACATTTTACATGTTTGGGAAATTTCCACTTAACTGCTAATTTTTTTCGATGTTTGCTCCCCTTCCAACGTCAAGTATAGGGAGCCTGAGGTTTTGGCCTCGACTTGAGCCGATGAGATCGGACTCGAATCCAGGAGCCCCTCCTGGGGTCCGAGGCCTGTGAAGCCCTGGGCCTCAACCCAGGCACTTGAAAAACCGGGGGTCCGTCCCGGAAAGGTTTTTCGGGTGCCATGGCTAGTTGGGTCTATCCGTTGTCCCTTCTTGGTGGGTGTTAAAGGGAATACCGCAGGATCCGCAGGCTATATATATATATATGATATATGCATGTCTGTTTTCTTTATATATATATATATTCTTGTTTCGGGGGGGGTCCCCGCACAAAGGAAAAAGCGTGTTGCAGCCAAGGGACCCTCAAACCAATGCAGCCTGGAAGCAGGTTGCGAAAAATAGAGCCTAAGAGTCAACGAGAAGGGGGGGCAGTCTTTCTTGCGCTTATTTTCAACAGTGTGAGTGTGTGTATTTGGGATACCCGGATACCCCCTTCTTACTCTTTGGAAGGAAGCCAAAAGAAAACCGCCACTTGTGGGGGTCCCCCGAATGGCGGCAAGACCGACGTTTTCCCTGGGGCAGAAGCGGGTAATCATATGTTCCCTGAGTCCAAGCGAGACACCCTCAAACACGGCAGGGATTTCCATTGGACATTTCGCGCACGGGGATTTCCAAAATTTGGACTGCTCCTCCTCTGTGAATGAACGAACGGTGTCGGATCATGTCGGATCTCGGGTCTGTCTTTGTTTGAGGGTAACATCGTTTGGTTGGTGTTAAAGTTAAGAGTTAGGATACTGGCAACCACTGAGGGGGTCTCCAGGAATTACTTTAGCAAAAAATAGTAATTTATTTGCAACGGGAAATTGCAATCGAGGTCAGGTGGATTTCCATATAGTAATTTATTTGCAACGGGGAATTGCAATCGAGGTCAGGTGGATTTCCATTTTGCACTTCTAGATCGCAACAGCTTTGAGCTGGGCTTTCATTTAGCAATTTCAATTAGTGACAGCAGCAACGGTCAATACTGAAATGCATTGCTCCTGCAAACATGATTGACCTCCTTCGCTGAGTTTGGGCAACGTAGAGAGAGAAGTTGGATGCCGGCCGTGCGCCCAAGCAGCTCAAGCAAAGTGCGGCGTAAAGGCAAACCAGGAACAGATTCACCTGGGTAGCAAGGCGCTCACGCTGTGGATAGCACGCAACAGCAACCACCGCAACTGCAAGCGCAGCAACAACAGCAACGGCCTGCGCGTCAATGGCGCTAGAAGCCAATTGGGCCGATGTGGGGGAGGAGCAAGCAAGCTCGCAAGACGAGCTGAGCCAGCGTGTGGCTTTGGCAGAGGCCTGTCGCTCTTCGTCAGACGATGAGCAGGAGCAAGTTCTGGCGGGCAAGCCGCCAGCTCTTGCTCCGGGAGCTCCGTGGTGGGCTCGGCAGCTGAGGCAGGCCACCAGCAGCCTTGGGCTCACCATACCAGCCTCAAAGGGGCACATCCGCTGCGTGTCAGGCTGCACGGGAATGTGCGCAGAGGGATTTGTGCTGAAGGCAGGGCCTGCCCAAACGCAAACCTGCTTACCCGCACTGGCTGCTAGTCAGCCCCGGTCGTCCTGATGAGATGCTGTCTCTATCTTCTTTCTTTCGCTTTCCCTCCTTTTCCAATTTGACAATTTGATCCTCGCTCTCTCATTCTCTCTCTCTCTGTCTTTCTGTCTCAATCTCTCTCAATCATCTCTCTCTCTCTATCTAGACTCTATCAGTCTCTCTCTCCCTCTCAGTCTCTCTCTCCCTCTCTCCCTCTGTCCCTCTGTCCCTGCTCTGTCCCTCTGTCCCTCTGCCCCTCTCTCCCTCTCTCCCTCTCTCCCTCTCTCCCTCTCTCCCTCTCTCCCTCTCTCCCTCTCTCCCTCTCTTCCTCTCTTCCTCTCTCCCTCTCTTCCCCTCTCTCCCTCTCTCCCTCTCTTCCCTCTCTCTCTCCTTTCTCGCCCTCCTTTTCATGGTTGCACACATTGCTTTTGAGCTGACCGGGCATTGGTGAAACAGTGTGTGTGTGGCACGCAACGAATAGAATCGAATGGCGAGTGTGAACAGCTCACTTGCCGTAAAAACTGTCTGACAGGCCAAGTCAACAAGCATTGCCATGATTCTGAACAGGTTTGAACACTTTGCTGCAATTCAGTGCGCCGGCTCACTGCGCTTCCCCCTTGAGGCACTGGGCATTCCACACGCGCTGATGAGCGCGAGCGATCCTGAGAAGAAGTGCATGGCTTTTGTCGAGGCCAACGATGCTAAATGCATGATGCCAACCCATTGGTACAAGGGCATGAAGGAGCAGGTTGCAGGGGGTCCATGTGCCCGACATCCTCGGAGCCTAGCGTGTATCCCTGCGCCGCAGCAGGTTGACTTAGCAATGTGCGGGACACCGTGCCATGCGTTTTCCACCCAGAGGGCCACCAGGTACAAGAGAACCACAGTGGAAAGCCACCATGAATACAACATAGCCATGGACCAGTGGTTCACTTGGATGGAGCGGTTTTCTCCAACAACTGCTATCTTTGAACAGGTAGTGGGGTTTGAGATGCCGCTGGAGCAGGGATCTCAGGAAACACCATTGGACCAGCCACTCGTCAGGACTGTGGATGCCTCATTGCTGGGCCTGAAGTTTCCGCAGTTGTTTGTGTCTTGTCTTAGTAAGTAATAGCAACTAGTAACTAGACTCAGTAGAAGTGAGTAGTCACGTTGTACTCAGAAGACTCAGTAGAGTTGAGATTCTCGGACCGCAAACAGTTGTCCCCATGATGTCAAAGTACCAGCGGGGTGTCGGTGTCAAAGCTGTGGCCGCTTGTATTTGCCACAAGGTTTCAGCAGTTCAATGTAAACCTCTAAGCTGGCAAGGAAAATGGGCTTGTTCAATTGCGTTTGCATTTTGGGTCCCCTTCAGATCATTCTGACACATAGGACTGCATGGTTGGCGTTGATTTGGCCGATTCTCAACATTTAATTGCTGTTGTTTTTCTTGGTTGGTTTCATTTCTACAAATGAACAGCCACAACCAAAATTACAATTGACAAGGTTCTCACCCAAACCCAGACCCAGGCAACTGTACACTGTACATTCTTCACTTGGGCAATGTGCTTTTGGGGATTGCGAGATTATGGGAAGTCTACAATCTACAAAAACATCCCAAGCCCCACGACCCAGCGATCCAAGGTTCAAACAACTGCTTCAGCAGCGAGCTCCAGGAGACGCGTACGGCGGCTACTGGATGATCAAGAAGCGCCTCGACATGGTGCAGTGGGTGAACATCTCCCGGGAGAGGACTGGAGTTGGGGGTGGGGCTACACTGACAGTCTTTCCGACTAGCAGCTACTAGCAACTAACAGTAACTAACAGTGACTAACAGTTGACTAACATTGGAGCGGCCTCAGGCCTAAGCAAACATATACAATATACAGTTTGGCTGTTGATGACCAAGTGTCAGTTAGCGCTGTAAGTTGCTGTGGTATCAATAGGGCCAGGGTAAGGGCGCAAACCCAAGCAAGGCGTGGCAACTGCATTTTCAAACTACGGGGCCGGGGGGGGAGGAGGGTCAGCTGCTAAACCGCACGGCGGGCACATGTGATCATGGCTGCGTCAGCTTCACATCAATTCGCAGCTGCCGGCCCACGACGTAGGCGTCAGAGGTTTCCAGTTACTCACTAATTAGGACCCAAGCGTTGCGCTTTGCGCTTTGGAATGCCCTGCGACACTCGTGAAGATCTCTTCAATGAGTCTAACTGTCTGTTGAAAATGAAGTGTTGAATTGAGCCAACCTTTCTGGAGTTGTGTTGCAAGCTTTGGTCGCCTTGTCTTCCTCATTGTTTGGAGCAAGTGCTGTTTCCAACATAATGTAGCGTAGCAAAGGCTCTTGCAGCAGCCATGGCCAACTGGGACGATTCCTGGTGTGATGTGTCAGACTCCGATGTGAAAGAAACACAAGATCAGCCTGGGCATGAAGAGGAGTTGCCAATGTGGGACTCATGGGATGATTTGGATTCGGATGCGGGATCTGGGGTGGAAGCCGCAGCCCAGCCTGAGCCTACCACGCCTTGCCTTGTGACTAGGGTGAAGCGCGGCAGGCCACCAGGTACTTGCGGCTCTGCTGCCTGGCGAGCGACTATGTGTCTCAGCGAAATTGCACAACTGGTCCCAACAATATGCGACCCTCAAAATTGCTGACTTGTCTCCTCTTGCTCTCTTTAAAAGTTTTAAAGCCACCAAACAAAAGGGCGCCCTCAAAAATATTACTAGCCCTTATGCGTAGCAGGTTTCAGCGTCCGATATTCAATTCAGATACTTAGTTGCTTGAGCATGTCCTCATTTAGTCATGTACTTGTGTAATCTTACGTAGCTAGGCCACATCGTATCTGAAAACTGTGTCGACTTTGAGCTTGGCCCGTTGCTGCCCAGATTGAAGCACTCTCAAACATACCCCCCTTTATAAATTGCATCTAAATCTACAGAGTACGCGAAAATGGATGTTTGCTTGGACCTCGCACGTGCAAAGATAATGTTTGCTTGTTTGTCAAGGAGTGGCTACCGCAACTGGTTCACAATGGACATCATTGTTGCGACTGTAATTTAGAGTAACTCTGGCTGATACTGTCACTGAGTCTGGCATTAATAATTTCACTCATACTAGACAGCGCACAGCGCATTGAACGGCAGTTGGTCAGTGCCCAGGAAGCGCAAGGTGGACGAGGCTGAAGTGTCAGAGGTTGCAATTACACCTGTGAACCGCGTGGTCACCACCCTGCCCGGCAGTGTTGACCACGCACGACAGCACCTGATGAAGAAGAGGCGCCAAGAGCAAGCCGAACGCGCTGACAGACACGCTGCTGACACACAACGGGTGTCGCTACAGTTACAGTTACAGGCCTCTCCAATATTTCAGCCAACTTCTGGATTGTGGGAGCTGATTGCATTGAGCGGCTCGATATTGATGCAGAGCATTACCCAGTCAGCCCGGTACTCATTTGAGCATTTGCCTGCCGACTCTCGAAGTTCTTCTGCAATGTCCCAGCTCCTCCTGTACAAGACAACTGCCATGATGTCTAACAAGGCGCTTGGCAAGATGCTTGCTTCGGCCAGTTCATCATTACAC